GCGCATACGTTACCGCTTCGAAGGCGGTGGCCCTCGTCTTAACGCTCTCCATGTAATGCGCCAGTGTGTCTTCCTTTGCGTCGAACACCCCGTTCAGCTGATTGACTGCCAGCGAGGAGTCGGAGAGTACCCGTATCGTTCTGGCGCCCAAGTCGTGGGCGGCCGTCATCCCCGCCAAGATGGCCTCATATTCGGCGGCGTTATTTGTCTTCAACGCCCTGAACCTGATTGCGATTTCGTGCACCACGCCAGCAGGTGTGCGCACTATAACCCCTGCTCCAGCGCCATACTTGCTCGCCGCTCCATCGACGTAAACTTCCCAAACACCCTCCGGCGCTGTGTCGAGGGTCACCCCTTATGCGATGAAATCAGCTAGAATTTGGGCCTTTATTGCTGGTCTTGGTGCGTATTGAATATCGTATTCCGAAAGCTCGACCGCCCATTTCACCATGCGCCCCGATACTTCCATCGAGGTCAGGATCTTTTTTAGTGGAAGGTTTGTTAGGACGGTGATTTGGTGCGCTTGGAAATACGGGCGCAGTTTCTGTGACGCGCTTACTAGCGCCAAGGCAGCTTTCTCGATCGAGGAGTATCTTGTCTCCGCGCTTACGAGGGTGCGCGAGGTGTAATACACCAGTTGCTCGGTTTTACCGTCCCTTCTGGATATCAGTACCGCGCTCACAGCCCTTGTTGACACAGCAAGATACAAGAAGAGTTTTTCATTAAGCTTGGGGGCAGTCAGTACAGGGGGGGATACAAGATACGCCTTGAGTTCTTGGAATGCTGCTTCGCATTCCGGGGACCATGTGAAATGCGCCCCATTCTTGAGCGTCTTGAAGAAGGGAGCACATTTGTCGGCAGACCTTGGAATGAACCTTCCCAGTGCCGCTATTTTGCCATTCAGAGATTGGATTTCCAATGCGTTCCTCGGCGCTCGAAGTTGTTGGACTGCGGAGATTTGTTTTGGGTCAACCTCTATGCCGCGCTTCGTTATCATGAACCCAAGGAATTTCCCTGCTTCGGCTCCGAAAACGCACTTGAGTGGGTTGAGGCGAAGGTTGTGCTGGCGGAGGGCTTCGAATGTCTCGCGCAGGTCGTCCAGGTGTGAGTTGCCCGCCTTTGTTTTGACGATAAGGTCATCCACATATGCCTCAATGTTTCGCCCGATCTGTCGGGAGAACACCGCATCAATCATTCTCTGGTACGTCGCGCCTGCGTTCTTCAACCCGAATGGCATCCCGACGAAGCAAAAGTTTCCGAACGGTGTCATGAACGCCGTCTTCTCTTCGTCTTCGATGGACATTGGGATTTGGTGGTATCCTGAGAACATGTCGAGGAAGGATAACGTCTCGTGGTCCGCGGTTGCGTCGATCAGTTGGTCGATGCGCGGTAGGGGGTAAGGGTCTCCCGGGCATACTTTATTGATCGTGGTGTAGTCGACGCACATCCGCCAGGCCCCCGATGATTTTTTAACCAAGACCACGTTTGCCAGCCACTTTGGATATTTCACGGGGCGGATCAATCCTGCTGCTAGTAGGCGCGCTACCTCCTCGTCTATGGCCTTCAGTTTGTCGCCAGTGAATATCCTTCGCCCTTGTTGCCTTGGTTCCGCGTTGATTGGGACCGCGAGGCAATGCTGGGCTATTTCTCTGGGCAGTCCTGGCATGTCTTCTGTGCACCAAGCGAACAGCTCCTTGTATTCCTTCAGCAAGGCTACGAGCGGTTCGATCGCGTCACTACTGACGTGAGTGGAGATGCGTATCTTCCTAGTCGGCTCGGCGGGATCCAACGCGACTTCGAAGTCGGAATCCATGGACTCCGGGCGGGGCTCTTCTGCTCTTGTGTCGACGATGTTGGTCTGGCGCACCTCATCGCGCTCTTCCCATGTCGTCCCTCGCGCCTCTCCGACCCCTGTTTGGGTGGGGAATTTGAGCTTTTGGTGGCACGTTGATGGGAGGGCCATGAATTTCGCCAGGAACGGTCGGCCAAGGATGCCGTTGTGTGCCGACTTACAGTCGACGATTGTGAATTCCACTTGCTTGGAGATGCGCGGCTCTTGGTCTCCGATTACTACTGGGAGGGTGACTACTCCAATTACTGGGACCCTCGTTCCGGAGAACCCGACCAGATTGCCTTGTGCGCGTTTGATTAAGCGCGGGTCGATGTCCATTTTGTCAATGGTGCTTTGGAAGAGGATGTCAGCTGCGCTACCTCCGTCTATCAGCAGACGGTGGATTTTGCATCCGGCAACCAGCGCGGTGATGATGAGTGGGTCTTCTGATGGGACTCCTCGTGGGAACTCCGCATCGTCGAAGCTCAGGTAGAACTTCGTCCGCGCGTCTACAGTCGCGCATTCCGTTGCGCGCTCTCGCTTGGTTTTCTTCTTGGGGCGGTCTCCTTCTACCGTTACCACCCCTATTTCTTTGCGTACCACGTACGCGCCACCGGCGTCATCGTTGTAGTTGGTTTGTGGTGGAGGTGGCGGGTTCTGGGGGCCTTCGACTTGTTCTTCCTTGACGTGAGTGAACTCGGTTAACAATCCTCGATTTATGAGGCCCTCGATTTCGTACCGTAGCTCGCGGCAGTCTTCTGTCCAGTGACCTGTTGCTCTGTGGAAGTCACAGTGCTTGTTTGGATCGCGCATGTGAGGTCGGGACTTCAACGGAGCGGGCCAATTAAGCTTGTAGCCCTTCTCGCGGAGAACGTGGAATACGTTTCTCACGGAGTCGTTAAGTGGCGTGTAGGTGTTGGACGCCCGTGTATCTGGTGATCGCCGGCGCTGAGCTTGCTCTTGCGGGGGAGGAGGGTGTATTTTTGGGCCGCTGTGCAGCTGTACCAATTGGTCTCGTGGGATCGGGGCCGGGGGTTGCCGACGCCCTTGTTCTTCGCGCGACAACTTTGCCGGTTCAAAGCGCCTGACCGATCCCGCCCCGAGAGTTTCTTCCAACGTGATTGCCTTCTCGATTTTCATTTCCAATTCCGTGGACAGGGTTACGGGCCTTTTTGCTAGCGCCCTCTTAAGCTCCATGTTGCTAGTGGCCTCCATGAGGTGGTGGGCGGCGGTTTCGGGGGTGAGGTCGCGGACGGCCATTGCCACCCTGGACCATCGAGCGTAGAAAGCCCTCAGGCTCTCTCCCTCCTTCTGCCTGATATCTATCAAGGCCTTGAGATGCAGAGGACGTATGAACTCTTCGAATGATCGGATGATTCCGTTCGGGAGTCTGTTGTACCAGTCAAGGCATATTCCAGAGAATGTGGATGGGAAGGTTCTGCACAGCGCCGCGTTGGATTTGGTTTGAAGCTGCATTCGTAGGCAGAAGGTGCTCACATGGTCTTCGGGGTCGGTCGTGCCGTTGTACGCCGGGAGGGTGGGTGGCGCTCCGCTGAGGTGCTCCGCCATAATTTCCGCGCTCAACGGCTGGTGGAGGACCTTTCTAGGTGGGTTGGGTCGGTATTGCGGAGTCAAGTGTTGCTCCAAGAAACTGAGGTCCGCCCGCCCAGGCGGCTCGGCTCCTCGCGTTTCGCACGCGAGGTGTTCCGTTTGCGCGCGTTGTGGTGGTTGGGCGGTCCCCGACGTCTCTCCCAAGGCTTGTTGTGGCGCGGCTGCCATCGCGTCCATTGTCGTCGCGGCTTCCTTGCTCATCATGAGCGCGATGACTTGGCTCATTTGTTTTTGCATGTCCGCTATGACACTGTTTTGCTTCGTCATCAGCTCCCGCACTTCTTTGGCTGTCAGCTCGGGCTCCTCTTCTTCGATGAGCACCGCATTGAGGTTGCTGGCTTCTGCGAACGCCCTAGGATCGGTCATCGCCTTGATGGGCGTCGCTTCGTCAGGTGAGTCGTGGTTGCGTTCTGCCATTGGTTGATTGATTGATGATTTTTTTTTTTTTTTTGCGTTTCTTCTTGGCCCCACGGTGGGCGCCAATTGTTTGAACCTAACTGAGTGTAGGAGTGAGGTTCGGGGAAAGATGTGGGTCAAGAAGAGTGAACAAAAGGGGAATATCAACGATCACGCGGGTAACAGGGATCGAGGAAACGAGATTGAGAGGATAAGATTGGGGGAAAGGAGTCGTAGAGAGAGAAGTTGATGTTTATAGAGATAGAATGCTCAAAATGCGATCCCCCTCACCCACCGTAGTAAATGCCATATTTATAGGCTTCATGGTGGTGGGTGAGTGGTTGACTCATGTGAGGATACAATGATGTGACTACTGACTGACTACGGATTTAGGTCATGCTTCTACCTAGGACGTGTCAGAGACCTATCTAGGGCCATGCCTAGGGCCCTGATGTGACTACCCCCTTGGGGAGGGAAGCTACGCTTTCTACATCCCTTTGGTCTGGTTTACGCTATGGTCTTCCAACATGCGTGCGACCCGCTCCGCGTCTAAGCTTCTCGCGCCGGGACGTGGTGGACCACGTTGAGGTGTCGCGCTCAGGGTCTTCGCGCGGCGTGTTCCTTCGGCATGGCAAGGCCCGAGTCATATGCCCAACATATAGTCATCTGCACTCAAATAGACACATTTGAATCGGACTCAAACAAATTCACTCATATTGGATCATGTTTAAACCCAACTCACAATCATTAAAATGATATATGAGTCCATTTGGATAAGACTCCCTGTATACCCCTATAGAATATAGACAGTGAAAATTAGGTCAAAGTATCTGACCAATTCCTATTTCTATTCATAATAAGTTAATAACCAGAGATTTAACTTCCATATATTTTTATGGAAAAGTGGTAATACTATTATTTTTATTAAAAAAAAATCATTAACACATATAATGTAATTTCCATCTCCATGCTAAGTAACTATGGCATATAATTAATAAAAAAAATTCTAAAGAAGAAAAGGAGCAAAGACTATTATGGCATTGTCTTGAATACCTATTAGGGAATAATTTCATATCAATTAATCCAACTTATATATAGGTGAAAAATTGGTGCTCCAACCTTTAGAATTAGCATCACTTTTTTTTCTTTCTCCCTCACAGCCATGGCACCAACAACATCATATTTCTCCCCATCACTCTTCTTTTTCTTCTTCTTCTTCTTCCTCTCCTTTGCCCTCACATCATCATCATCATCCCATGGCTCGTCGACAATCACGACTCACCTCATCCACCGCGACTCCACATTCTCGCCGTCGTACGACGCCGCCGAGACGGTGGCCGGTCGAGCCGCGAGGGCCGCGGAAGCTTCCCTCGCCCGCCACCGCTACTTGTCCTCGCTGAAGGAGGACATGCCGCGCGACGTGGAGGCCGGGCTGGTCCTGGCCGCGACGGTCAACGTGTTCTACGTCAACTTCTCGATCGGCGACCCGCCGGTGCAACAGCTGGCGGTCATGGACACGGGGAGCAGCCTGACGTGGGTGAAGTGCCTGCCTTGTAGTCCGTGCTCGCCGGGCGGCGGGGCGGCGACGGCGTTGTTCGATCCGGCCAAGTCCAAGAGTTACTATGCGCTGCCGTGTACCGACGACTGCAAGAAGTGCGATGGTAAAAAGAATACTCTCTTCAAAGCATCCATTTGAAATAAATAAAAAATACATCATTAAATTAAAATAAATACTGATATGCGTGTACATATTTTAATTTTTAAGTGATTATGTTGTTGAATATATTTCGTATATTATATATATGCGTAGTAAATGAGTTTAAAATTCTTGTCGCCCTATTTACGTAGGGTCGTTTGGATGATTGAATTAGATGAGTCCATTTAGCCAATTCGTCAGAAAATAAAGTAATTGAGTCAGATTGTCTCGTTTTGCAATATAAAATAAGGATGCAACAATTGAGCTGAGACGATTTGAATTTATTCATTTTGCATCAATTTAAATTGATAGTGGAAGATGTAAGTATATTGAAATGATGCATCAATTGTGGAACGAGATAATTTCGAAGCAATTGAGTCAAATTGATCATTTAAAAAACCTCATAAAATCGTCTCTTTTTCCGACCATATATAAAACTCTCGTTTTTTCTGGTTTATATATTTATGATGCTACACACTTGGATTGTTCTGTTTTCAATTGTTTTGTTTTGCATCAATTTGAACTAACCGTGAGAGGTACAAGTATTTTAAAATAATGCATATGAGATTATACAATTTCAAAACATTAGATTAATTACCCTTTTTTGAAATGCATCATCAAAATGACCGCATAGAATCGTCTCATTTTTTCCATCCATATACATAGTAAATGCATTTATAACCCCCTCATTTCCCTTATATTTACGATGGTTCCCACTTTTAAATCTACAAATTAGGCGAAAATTTCGTATGAAATCTCACATGCATTAAAATTATAAAGTACCCGTACCGTATTTAACTAACTAAAACATATTATATATTTTGTAATTTTTTTGGTGGCCATGATTGATCGTCGAAAGCTGAGCACTGCATGTACACAATGTCGTACCTCGGCAACCAAACCAGCGAGGGCGTCCTCGCCTCCGAGCAGCTCACCTTCCTTGCCCCCGCCGGCGGCGGGGAAACACAAACCGCCGTCGTGCCAAGCTTCGTATTCGGCTGCTGCAGCTCGCTCACCGGCGTCGGGAGCAGCGTCGACCCGAATTTCAACGGAATACTAGCCCTCGGATCCGGGCACTTTTCTTTGGTCAACCAGTTCGGCGACAAGTTCTCGTACTGCACCGGCAGCATCGCCGACCGGTCTTACCCTCACAACCGCCTGTCCATCGGCCGCGGGGCCTACTTGGCCGGCGACACCGCTAGGGTTTCCCTCAGGGACGGCGCCTACAACGTCTTTGTGAACGGCATCACCCTTGGAGGCCAGGTATATATATCTTTATAATTCAATTCCTCGTGAATTTTATTTGTTAGTAGAGAGATGTGCCCAAATCAACTAGTAATATTATAAAACTCGTTATGGATTTGCTCAAAAGTATCTTTGGAGGGAAATTTCGACATAATTCGTTTTACTAGGTTTGTTTGACTTGTTATGGGTGGTAAGTACATGGAACAAGACAGATATGGTTACACTTCTCGACCTAACTTACCCTGACTCGTCCCATTATCCATATTCACCTAAACTACATGTAATTTTATTTAAATTGCTTAAATTTTTACTTTTATTCCCTCGTATTTTAGCTACGATAAGTTATAAATACATGAGAATCTCAATTTATTGAATATTTTTAACTATATTTATTATGTTATAGTTTGTTTCTTAATTTTTGAAAAAATTTATATTTTTCTTGAAATTACATGTATGTTGAGTTGACCTACCCGACCAATATTCTATAGTAAATAATCCGACATGGATCTGACCAATCATGAGTGTACGAGATACCCATATGACTAGGGGTGTTAGTCGGTGCGGTTTCGGTTTAACCGCACCGAAATATCGGTTAACCGCAACCAAAATTGTCTCAAGATCACTAACCGAAACCGAAACCGACAGAGACTTCGGTTAACCGAAAACCGCAAACATCGGTTTCGGTTTTCCCTTGCGGTTAACCGAAACCGCAGGTTCTGGTTCACTTTCTCGATTTTCGTTCAGAAACCGACCACCCAAAACCGAATTTCAACCACCTTTTTTAATGATTCACCCTCAATTTTGAGTGACCTGCTTTTGTTTCAGCCTCTATAATCACACACCATAAAGTCATCTAAATCAATTGAACATAAAGCCTAAAGCAACCACAACTCCACAACATAAAGTCTACATGCCCACAATTCAACCACAAGTCACAATCACAACAAGACACAAATAACAAGTTCATTATCTCCAAATCATCAACCTAAATGATCCGAGGATCTCGCTCCAATTCATCTAGCCCATAGTCATCATTTACTCCAAGATCTTCATCTAGCCCATAGTCATCAACCTAAGGTTCACTCTATCGAGTGCAAAGGGGATTTAGAGAGGGGTGACTTTCGAGTTCTAACTCTTAAAAACATTTGAGACTCTTGATGGAGGGTTGTTTGCAATAGGTGAGAATTGGGATGTTTGGAATTGCAACTTTGATTGGTTTTGAATCTTACAACTTTTTCCCTTAGCCAAAGTAAAAAACCATGTAGTTACACTAGTAGTCGGTTATCGGTTTTCTTATCGGTTAACCGCTAACCGATTAATCGGTTAGCGGTTAACCACTAACCAAAATACTACTAACCGAAACCGAAATCAATAAGGAAGTAGCGGTTATCGGTTAACCACTAACCGACTTTATCGGTTCGGTTATCGGTTAAAACCGATAACCGACTAACCGTTTATCACCCCTACATATGACATTTCCATCGTCATTCCTATTTTTACTTTCATTCCTTATATTTTAGCTACAATAAAATTTTAAATACGTGAGAACCTCAATTTATCGTATATTTATCATGTTATAGTTTGTTTCTTCTTTCCAAAAAATTTAATATTTCTAATGTTTTCCCTTAGATTACATATCTATAGTAAATCGACCCATGTTCCTTAATAAGTCATCCGATATGGGTTTGATCAATCATGTAATAAATATGGATATCAAAATACCAGCCTGACAATGCCCATATTGTCATTCCTGTTTAACATTCTTTGTTATGAACAAACATAATTGTTTCTTTTCACTTTTTTGCAAGGCACTGAACATAAGCCAGGAAGTTTTCCTCAAGATGTCCGACATCACCCGAGGAGTGTTCATCGACACCGGAGCAGAGCTCACCTTCCTCTACACGGAGGCTTACGACGCGGTGAAGGCGGAGATCATCAAGCTAGCCTCCGGAGTCCTCACCGGAGTCAACCCCACGGCTCCCTACGAGCTCTGCTACAAAGGAACGGTGGGCCAAGACACCAAGGGGTTTCCGGCCCTAGGGTTGCAGTTCGCCGGAGGAGCGGATCTCGTGGCGGATAACAACGGCATGTTCAAGCAGGTTCAGGATGATGTTTTCTGCTTCGCCTTCGTCCGGTCGCCGGCGATCAGCGTCGTCGGGATGATGGCTCAGCAAGGGTACAATGTTGGGTATGATCTGGATCAAGGAGTGATTCACTTCCAGAGCATGGATTGCGAGATTCTGCCATCGAGTTAGGCATTAGGGTAGAGTTTTGTTTGATTTACTAGCTATAGTGATAACTCAATGAAAAAAAGGTTCAAAGTGCAAGAGGTGTAACCATTTTTATGGTCTCTGCTAGCTCTTCCAATAATTCGAGTTAGGAATGAGAAAGAGAACGAAACACAGATCGAGACAAATTAGATTTGATAATTTTATTTTCGGAGGTAGGTTCGTACTCCATTTTTAAGTTTGGGTCTGAATTATACTCATTCTATTAGATACCACAAAGTAAACTAGGTAGAGGGCAGTTAGTGAGATGGTTGATATTGTTTTTTGTGTGGAGAATCATCTGGTCCTAAATAGACTCAACTGGGTCCGACCCAAGTGAGCTGGCCCAATGAATACTAACACGCCTAATTCAAGTTGTCAGAATCATTCCCAACACTCCAAGACCGTATGAACAATAAGGCACTAGGCGTAAGGCGGGTGTCGACCTCTCGCCTAGCGTTTAGCTACCCTAGGCGTCCCTCCTAGATTTGAAAGTAAAAATATCAGTTTGTACTAGGTAAAATATATAAATTAGATAGTTGTTTATAGCAACTTGTATATAATGTTAATTTTCCCATTTTGATACTACCTAGTTCCGCTTCATTAATTACCTAAATGACAACTAGGTGTCGTCGTACTCCACCGACATGTTATGAATACATCACTCGCTGTGAAACCCTAAACGAAGTGCTTTGGTGTAGTCGGACTCCTATATGCGACTAAACCTAAGATTAAGCACGCTTTTTTCAACTAGGAACAAATGAGTTCCGATAAAACATCATAAATTGCCACATCCACTCCCTAACTATACAATCACAATGACATGAACTCTAAGCAAAAAACAGAAGCTAAAAAAACCCTAACACATTGTTTGCTAAGTACCAATTAAAACCTAGAACACAAATATTTCCTCCGTCAGATCCATGTTCCGCGCTTTCAAGGCATGTGTATAACCAGCCCGCCGACAACAATCACACAACCTGCCGTCCCGCGGCCGCTCGCAGCCGGTCATATCCACCGGCCGCTCCAACAGCCACCACCGGGCATCCTCCTCCCACTCCTCCCTCGGCAGGAAGATCCCTTCCCCGGCGATCCCCACCCCGCGTCTCGCATCCGTCAGCACCACGCGCATCCCCGACCTGTACGCGCCTCGGATCCCGTGCACCACCACGCGCCCGTCGTCGTACAGGCTCCAATCCGCCACGCGCGCGTGATCTTCCTCCACCGCGTCGCGGATCCGGGTCACCGTGACGGCGTCGCGGCTTCTCCCCCGCCGGAGTCGCTCGCGGCAGGAGGGCAGGGCGGTGCCGTTGGCGCGGTCGAAGTCACGGCGGCGGAGCCTCCCGCAGAGGACGCCCATCACCGGCCGGGGGCCGATGCCGCAGGTGTCGCTGCGGCCGACGCCGGCGGCGGCGGCGGCAGCGGCGGAGTCGGAAGGGACGAGGAACGTGATGGGGCCGCCGCGCTCGATGTGGGTCTGGATCTCCCACTCGACCAGGTTCCAGTCGCCGTCGCGGAGGATGTCGGCGACGGTGGCGGCGGCGAGGGAGTAGCCGCGGGACTCCATGGCGGATCGGATCTTGGCGATTACGTTGGGGTCGCGCGGGGAGGGCACGGCGGAGGAGAGTTTGGAAGGGAGGTGGGGTGACGTTAGGGCGACGCCGTAGAGGAGGAGGAAGTAGAGTACGGCTGAGCCGATGACGATCATGACCGTGGGAAAAGCCGGCGACTTAGCCATGGTTTGTTTGATGTGCTATTCTAGAATTGTTGATGTATGTATGTGTGTATATATGGGTAAGGGTTACCGAATTCTACACGTATACGTCGTTCGAAATAGACTTCGATTAAGGTTCTGGTCCATGGTCCTATTATTTCTAGGTCTTGTGATTTAATTTATCGGATCAAATTATGCATTATTCCGTTAACAACTCATTCAATCACTCTCCCAACTTATCAATGAGAGTCAAATATCAAACCTAGGTTTTCAAATCCCACCCACCTCATTTATTCATAAACCACACTCTGCAACAAAGTAGAGATGACTATGTCTCCATAACACCCCTCATTTATTCATAAACCACACTCTGCAACAAAGTAGAGACGACTATGTATGATATTATGTTAATGTTTATGGTGCAAGTTGGATTGCTTTGACTTCGTGTTTTTTGTTATTTACTTGCATTTATGGTATAAAAATTATGTATTTATATTGGAATTTATGTTTCAATGGTGGAAAAATTTCACAATTATTGATTCGTTTTTTGTGTTGTTAAATAAACAAATAGTTCATTTTCGCTTAATATGATATACATGGTCCAGAATCCAAACCGCATATGTGTTGTGTAGTCTGGACCGTGTAGCATTTGGTCTGATCCCTAGTATATCCTCCAACCTTATGTACGATCTAGTCTATCCCAACTAGGGATGTCAATCCAACCCGTAACCATGGGTACCCTACCCGACCGTAACCGGTCAACGAGGGTAATTACCCGCTTTGACGGGTTAAGGGGCGGGTACGGGTAATACCCGGTTTCAAAATAAAGGGTAGGGTACGGGTATGGTAATCGATAATACCCGCTCCGTTATACCCGCCCCGCTAACCAAATGGTCAATTTCCCTTGAGAAATTTAGATTAGCTTGAGAAATTGAGTTTATCTACCATTATTGATGATGAAGATGTAGACGATTATTATGTTTGTGTGGATTGTAGAAGCAAGAACAATTATTATGTGTTTGCTATTTTTATTTGTGTAGATTGTTGACGCTCGAACAGTTACAAGTATTGAGAAATTTTTTTTATAAAGAAGTATCGAGAATTTTTAATGGACAACAGTATGTATGTGCATATATGTGTATAAGTTCATAGTTTAGGATTCGTACCCATGGTTACCCGAATACCCGTGGTTACCCGGTGGGTAGGGTATGGTTATATAATTTTCATACCCGGTGATTTTTTGGTCGGGTATTTTAGAAAGCTCTACCCGGCGGGTTAGGAGTTGGTATAGGGTAAACCCGCACCCGACCCTACCCATTGCCATCTCTAATCCCAACTCTATAACCCTTGCGTATACCCTACGAATCCCCCCCCCCCCCCCCCCCCCCCCCCCCCCCCTCATCTTTCTTGCATCACACGCACTCATATTTCCAATTGGATATGAATGGAAAATATGCTGCATTTACATCAAAAGAACTCTTCATACGGTAAAATCGCAAAACATAAGATAATGGCACCATTGTTATCCTCTATTTCAATTGATATATCACAAGATGCAAAGATTAGAGAGTACATTGCAAAAATAGCAACAACACATCAAAGAATAGGAAACTACACCATAATCATAAACGTACGCCTGTAGAACAAAACAATCCGTGTAGATAAATTCCAGATTCGAGATTTTACTGTAAAATTTCTTGCTTTCCCCTTGTTTGGTTTCTGAGATGAGCTCAAAACAGGAGGGGTAAGACCTCAGGAGTAGACTAATAACAACAGTATTCCAACACTCTCTTCTACTACCCAACCCTCGAGAAAACGTTTGCCTCTTGCCTCTCTAACATTGTGAACTAACTTAACTAACAAGTAACAAACCCCATGTATATATCATCAATGTTCAGTCGATCTTTACGGACGAGTAAATGAGCCTCGTGAACCAGAAGCAAGCGTAGAAACCGATGGTACCAGTGAGGACGAAGAAACCGTACGACCCAATCAGCATGTAACCGAAGTACAAGATCCCCGAAACCGGTTTCGTGATCTCGAGCTTGGTAAAGAAGTAGAAGGCAGCGTATAGGAATAGATAGAGAGCGGACGAACCTGCTGTTAGGTACGACCTCCACCACCACAGGTAGTCCTCGCTGCAGAGCTGAAAGTAGCAGAGCACGACCGTGATCTCGGCGCAGGTGATGATGAGGATGACGAAGACGATGAACAGGAATCCGAAGATGTAGTAGAACTGGTGCAGCCAGATCGAGGTGAGGATGAAGAATAGCTCGATGAAGACGGCCCCGAAGGGGAGGATTCCTCCGATCAGGATCGAGAATGCAGGGTTCATGTACCACGCTTGTTCTGGGATCTGCCTCGGGATCTTGTTGGTCTTCACGGGATCTTCGATGGCAGGCTTCTTGAAACCCAGGTAGCCGCCGACGAAGACTAGTGGGACTGATATTCCAAACCATAAGAAGACCAGAGCGAACATGGTCCCGAATGGCACTGCCCCCGACGACTTCTCGCCCCAGATCAAGGCGTTCAAGATGAAGAACACGACAAAGACGGTGGCAGGGAACATGAAAGCGGTTTTGAGTGCTATCTTCTTCCATTCTGTGCCCTTGAACATCTTGAAGAGGCGAGTCGCAGCATAACCAGCAAAGAGGCCCATGAACACGAAGAGCAGGAGCATGGCAGTCATCAGCCCACCACGGTTAGAAGGTGAGAGGAAACCTAGAACAGCAAAGATCATGGTGACAAGGAGCATCCCGAAGAACTGAACCCCAGTTCCGACATAGACACAGAGCCAGTCGGAGTTTGATGGAGGCCTGAAGACGTCTCCATGGACCAACTTCCAGCCTGTCTCTTCTTGAGCTTCTTCCTGGGTCTCGAGTTGATTGTACTTGGAGATGTCCCGGTAAAGGGTCCGCAGCATTATCATGGCTACCATGCCTGAGAGGAAAAGGACAATCATCAATGAGTTGACGATTGAGAACCAATGGATCTGATCGTCGGCCATTAGAAGATAGGTGTCCCAACGAGACGCCCACTTCACGTCACTTTCCTACAAGGTAAACAGAAGGGGGGGTGTTAAAAAAAAATACTTAAAGATAGTACTAGTAGGAAATATTTTAGCTCATAAGAGATATTCATATATGGATTCACCTTGAACTCGACATCGTACGTGAAAATTATATCCTGCTTATTCTCAACCTCCTGAGGAGTTTCGGAGCTGGTAACTGCTCGTTTTGCATGAGGATCACATGTTGTTAGACGGGTGTTCTCGCCCTTCCATTCTCCCTCATACTCATGTTTGACACTGCAATGGGTAAACCGAAACAGATTGATGAAGAAGCTCCAACAGGAGGATAAACATAAGCAAAAAGTGAACAATAAGAATGACAAACTGTTACCTGTATGGTTTGACCTCAAACCCTACAATCCTTGCAGAATCGGTCTGAAGATCTTTGTGGTACTTGACGGTAAATGATAAGTGATTATGGATGAAATGCTTTTGATCCTTGGTCTACAAACAACAGAACCAATAAACAGGTATGCTCAGAAGTAGGTAAGAAGGTTAATTCTAAAAAACAGAGCATTGTTCAGCACACGGAAAGTTTCCCACTTACTCCAGCATACTGCCCTTTCAAACCAACATGAAACCCTTGTTGATACACTACAGAATTTTCCTGATCGAGCCTTGGAATCGGTACAACCAAAGGAAGATTGTCCAATATCCTGGATTAAACAGAATAAAGTGTCACCACAACAGCAGACTAATGCATCTCAACCTGCTCATAATGTCAAACTGCAAACAGAATCAGACACCCAAAAAGCCTTACATGTTGACCCGGTACTCGTCATCTATCTTTTCCTTGAACGCCTTCGTGGTCTTCTCGTTGAGCTTCGTGTGGCATACAATCTTGCACATTTGCGGCTCCCTCATTTTAAACTGCACCAGCAAAATGTACACCCGTCAAACATCCTGTTCTCCGCGCGCACACAGGCAGAACATACCATCAGTCCTTCTCCAACATTACAAGTAAACTTACCACGTAGGGAGAGTTCTCGATGCGATCACCGCGAAGAACCTCCCCGAGATTCTCAGTACTATCGACAATCTTCCCCGGACGGCACAATGGGAGGGAATAGAACGAGTACGGAAGCTGCGTCTTCGTGGAAGTCAATTTGTTTACTTTCACCTTCAATTCATCCCCCTGGGATTCACGAAAACAGTATAAAAGCAGAGCTCTACAGTCAGCATAAGCTACAATTCCAAGCCTACTAGCTCATAATCTCATATGCATAACGAAATCCACTGTTCTCTAAACGATTCAGTTCCGCGAATTCAACACAGCAACACAATTCACATCAGTTACTACAAACTAATCTGCAATCCATCGGAATTCAGCGAATTCCGCAGGAAAAATGATAACGGAGATTGATAATCCTTAACCGGAAAACGGACGGAGGGAGATTGGACGGGATCCACAAGAAGGAGGGGGATTGAAATTACCGTATGGAAATCCTCGGGGGCGACGCCGGGGAGGTAGAAGGAGCGAGCGGGGAGGGAGAAGACGGAAGCGAGGACGGAGATCCATAGGAGTCCGCGAGCGAGAGACGCCCTCGCCATGGCCGCCGAACTGGATCTGGAACGACGGTGGGGGGGAGGAGAGGGGAAACGCAGATATGGCGGATCGAAGGGAAGGAAGGAAGGAAGGAAGCTGTGATTTTCTGAATTAGTTGATTATTGAGAAGAGTAGTGCGCACGGGAATAACGAGAAAATGGAAGCGCCACTACTGTGTAAATACGGGTAAAAGGGAAATTAAAATATTGATTTTTGCCTGGGAGAAAGACAAAAACTGAAATTGACAGTTGCATATTTTAGTTTGTTTCGTCTTAATGCCCCCAATACTTTCTGTTCAGTTCATTTTCATCCTTATGAATGACAATTTGGATCACTCCAGGAAGGTGACATAGTTCTTGCTATATATCTGGACAAGCTAGAATATTTCGTGTTGATTAAGTATGAGATGAATATGAGAAACACTTGAGAGAACTTAACGAAATGAAAATTAATAATACTAAAACTATGAACACATGTTTATTATCGTTATTTTAGGCTAAAACTGTTACTTGACATGCATTTTGTCCTTCATAGTTCACTCAGTCCCTTTGCATTCGACACTCGTTCTTTTTTTGTTGTTGTTGTTGCAACGTTAAAACGTTACCATTCCTCGCAAAAGATTGTTTCTTTTGATTTGTTCTCGACGCTTCGTCGGACAACCTACTCACTTCGTTCTTACAAAACACAAAAGTAAGTTGCGAATGTTTGGGATGTGTTCTATAGTCTCCCTATTTTAGCTAAAATGGCCATAAAACTACAATTATGGGATAAAAGAATGCGCTGAATGAAACCTAATATTGATTTCTTTTTCGTGGTGTCACTTATATTTTATATTGTGTTGGTTGAGATTTGAAAATTCATTTGATGGGACAAGTAATTTGCTATTTTGCTGACTAATTTTGATCACTCCACCCCAACCACTCTTGTGATACACCTCCTCCTTCCACAAGGGAATCCAATCAAACCAAATTCTTCAGCAATTCTGGCAAAAGAAATTGAAAGTGGTATATGATCTATCCTAATCAAATTAATTAGGATATTGATAAGAGTTTATTCAAAACATACCATCTAATTTATTGAAGTTGTTAGCCTTTCTTCCTCCTAAAGTTATCATTTCATAATACTTCATGTACAATACACAAATTTTTAAAGGCTAGGAGATTATAAATATGCCCTTTATACAACATACATCACTGAGGAACCCAAAGTCTCTTTCAAGACAAACCAGCAGTCAATTTTCCAACACCAATTCAGAACCAGACTTGTTGAACAGGAAAACATCTCCCACTTCACAATCTTGATTATGAAGAAAACTACCCAAAAGTCTCTTTCCAACATATATTCAAAGACAATCAAAATCCAACAAGCAACATATAACAAGTTGGGAAGTTTCAAATTTGGTCCTACAACAACAAACAGTCCTTCTATATGGCCAGACAACAACCTAATTTAGCTAGACATTCCTGCAACAATCAATGAATCGAGGTATGAAATCGACAAAAAAATAAAGAAACTCAGGAACCAGCAAAGACCCCGGATTCATTATGCAGCTTGGTTTTTCTGCCCAGCACCTGCTGGTGCTGGTACTGGTGGTTGTTCGACGAGTCTCACAGAACGAGGAAGCATGAACTCCACGAAAAGAGGGTAATGAGAGGAAGGGTAGAAGCCATCGATATTGTCGCTCACCACTTCACATAAAGATGGGATCCAAGGACCTCCCTCTGTAGAGGATCCAATCTATGTGGAGGTCCTGTGTCTGCCTGTCCCAGCAAAGGCACAGTGCTCGGAAGATCAACTTCACAAACTCCAGGGCTCCTTGCTTGTTACCTGATAGCCGAGAAAAGTATAATGCAAAATGAATGTTGCATATAAGGTTATGGAGACCTTAAGCAAAGAGCAGCAGAAGTTTTACTAATTGAGCAGAACCTTTAAATCCATGGTAAGTGTGTATCAAGGAGACATTCTTCCTCACTCGAGCATTGGGCCACACGTCTTTCATATCTCCCATGGATCCATGCTCTCTGGATTATTTAAAGGGGTCGTGCTTAGAAGCAACGTGACGAGGAACTCAGGCCAATGCAAAAGACGTACACATACCTTGATCGACCGAGAAGGAAACGCCCTGTGGTTGATTCCTTCTTGGTATTGAATCCACCGCAGTAAACAACAGGGAGGCTAGGAGGTAAAGACGCGATGTGCTGCCAGGTGAGCAAAGCGCTTCGTCTTCTGGCACGAGGGCTCGACTCGTCCATGTTTGTGTTCACTATCTGGAATGGGAAGCCTGGGGGCTCAACTCCTTGGAGTTGGAATGTGTGGACACCATGTCAAGGAAAAGAAGCACACAGGTAAACTAGACAAGCCATATAAGGAAAAACTAGATGAGTTTGGAAGGATATCGCCCAAGTTGCAATGCATAGAACGGAAGCACCCCATGATATGCTGCCTGGGACAGATGGAGACTCCGATAACCAAAACGTTCCTCCTTCTAATAGTTATACCTTCATTTAACCAGGTACAAGAAGGAAAGAATGCAAATCAGACAACAGTTCGCTAGACCAAAGAAAGGGAAGGTTAATGAGAAAAGGGAGGTGATGATTTGCATAGATAAATACCTTTTCCTTGTTGTAGAAGATGTTGCAGTATTCGTTAGTACTATCCTCGAACCCTTTCCTTGACACGCCAAACTGATCATAACCTGATGGACCATAAAACAGTATCATTTCTGAATAATGAGCTCAATATCCAGGTTGAGAAGATACAACAGGCCGAATGTGAACTTCCAACAACAGAGACCAAAATCCATCATCCACAGGACTAAAGCAATGCACATATGATTAATCAACTATCTGAATAATGGAGAAGTATCCAATCTAGGTTCCACCATCATGTTCAGCTGTTGACCCAAGAAAAATATCATGGATCACTCTACATTCATATCGCTGCTGCACTTCAAGTCACTAGCTACTTCAACATTCAATATACATTCACATTGCTTCTGGCTAGCCACTGCATCTCTTCAAATACCTCGGATACTAACGACTCATACCATCTGCACATCAGTCTTCATACATTTCCATTACTGGGAACTTAATGAATTTCTAAAGTGGACCGTTACCAAGATTGAGTTACCAATTCCATCTAGAGTAGTTCATTTCAATACACACATAATACAACCCCAATCTATAAATAGAACATTGCATTCATTACAAATGGCAACAAGATAAACAACTAAATCAAAATTGACTTCGACTAGACTAAAATAAACCATGCAGCTTAAACAGAAGTTGATGAGGTGAAATGATGATGACCAAATCATGATTAAGGAATAGTCACCAGCTCACCTGGCAAACCTTGTTGCAGATATTCCAACTGTGACTTCACTCCTGAACCCCACAAACAACCCCAAATTGAAAAGGAAGGAAACAAATGACTTTCAATATAGTCGAAGAAACCCAGAAAAGAGAAGAGCTAAGAACACCCCGATCAGCAAATTTGAAGAAAGATCAAACCTTGTTGAGTACAAAGGATGAAAGGGGAGTAACTGGTAATGACACTCAAACACAAATCCCTCCTCTTCTCCCTTGAATTGGGGCTACTGCTACTATCCTCTGCTGCCTGATCTTCATCCAGATTGAAGGTCATTACAGTTACAGAAACACTCATACTTGCTTCTTCTTCTAAACCCCACTTCTTCTCTTCTTCGAGCTTAACCCACCAACTGATCAGAATCAGGGGAAGAATAGCGACACAAAGCCGCAAACTTTTGTTAAAGCTTCGATCTTTCCCATTCTTTTCTCTTCCTCGTTTTCTTTTCTCAGCTGTTTCTGGTTTTGATTGGAGCAGAGTTTGCCCACACTAGAGTGGAGTGTTGGGAGATCGCTTATGCCTTCCTTTCCTTTCCACTGGAAGCAAGTTTCTTTTCTTTTCCATTTTTTATATAAATTTTTTTTTTTTCTGAGCATTGTTCGTCTCGATTGTTTATCTGAGGCGGCGGTGTGGGACAAGGGTTAGTCTATTTCATATGTGAGTCAAAGCGTTATGGATATTTACCGTCCCTTCATTTCCCCTGTTTTTTTTTCTTCTTCTTTCTTTTGGAGTATCCTCCAAAGTCCAAATTCCAGTAATGGCGTAAAGCGTGAGATTCTCTTCGTTCGGTGGCGGTGTGAGTCATGGAGTTTGGCTCGACTCTACACGCGCGAATCAGGCCGTTGTTGCAGCTTGCAAGTGGGAAGCGGCGTGGCTCACTTCGTTTTTTCCCGCTCTAAAACCCTCTCTCGCCACAATTTTCACAGAAACCAAACAACGGAAACGAGAACAGGGGAGGAGGAAAGAAAGAAAGAAAGAAAAACAAAGAAGATGGCGGCATGCCTTTCTCTCACAACAACTCCAGCCAATGGGCCAAGAATCACCCCAACGTGGAGAACCCAATCGCAATCAACAATCACCCGGCCGATCCTGAATCTCCTTCTCCCCAATAGCAAGAAATCGAATCTCAAATTCACCTCCTCCATCTCCAATCCCAACCCATTCCGCCTCTCCGCCGCCAAATTCCCCCAATCCAACAAACCCTCCTCCACGACGACGACCAGATCGCTCTTCACCGGAATCGTGGAAGAAATGGGGGAAATCAAGCGGCTGGGCACCACGGAAAACGGCGCCGGATTCGAGCTCGAGATCCGAGCCAAGACCGTCCTCCAGGGTGTCCATCTCGGCGACAGCATCGCCGTCAACGGGACCTGCCTGACGGTGACGGAATTCACCGACGAATGTTTCACCGCCGGGCTGGCCCCGGAGACGCTGAGGAAGACGTCGCTGATGGAGCTGGGACCCGGGTCAAGGGTCAACCTGGAGCGGGCGGTTCAGCCCGCGGGCCGGATGGGCGGGCATTTCGTGCAGGGACACGTGGACGGAACAGGGGAGATCGTGAGCAGAGTCAAGGAAGGGGACTCGCTGTGGGTGAAGGTGAGAGTGGAGGATGAGGAGCTGTTGAGATACATTGTTCCCAAAGGGTTCATCGCCGTCGACGGGACGAGCTTGACCGTAGTGGATGTGATGGAGGAGGAAGGGTGCTTCAACTTCATGATGGTGGCTTATACCCAGCAGGAAGTTGTGGTTCCGATGAAGAGCGTAGGGGAGAAGGTGAATTTGGAGGTCGACATTTTGGGCAAGTACGTGGAGCGGCTGCTTGGGAGTGGGTTTGTGGAATCCATGGTGAAATCTTCGTGATAGTCTCTTCTTTTTGTGTATTTGCGGCGATGGGTGACGGCATGAATAAAGGAAGTGGTGTATGAATGAACTTCTGTGGTTTCATATCTGCAATGAGGGTTCGATATGCAGAATTCGGATGAGATCGACAATCATAGCTCGGTTTCGAACCAATTTTGTTGAGAATTGAATTATCATTTCGTATGAGAAGAGAAACAGAGTTCTTGTAGTACCAAATTCTATGTCGAAAGGGAATCGATTTCCCGGTTTTAAGCATGCAACCCAATGAACTTCAAGCAGAAGGAATAACAGAGTCCCTAACTCTGTTCTTGTACCCAAAGCGCCAAAAGAAAATGCCAAAATTCCTCACATAAACACTCCTTTTCCCCCCTTGCTGTTCGAAACACCCTTTTCATTTTCTATTATTCCTGAAACTGATGGATCCCCAAACCATTAAAGCAATTATTTTTAGTTGCTGATGCTTGTCTGTGCGTGTCTATGAAGAAGAGTTGAGCAGGACCCACTCCACCAAAGTTCCGATTCCGAATCCTGTGGCAGCACGCTTCTTGTCGTTCCACACGGGTCCAGCCATGTCGATGTGCATCCATTGGACTTTCTCGTCGACAAACTGAGAGAGATAGGCGAAAACCCCCAGCTTAAGAAGTCGTTTCACGAGCTGAGGGTGGTTGCTCATCTGTTACAACATAGGACAGAGAGAAAAGTAGTTACCTGTTTCAGGAATAGAGCAGCAGTGATGGCTCCTCCCTGACGACCACCGGTATTGACCATGTCGGCTACACCTGACTTCATGTTATCCCAGTAGCTTTCCTCCAATGGCATCCTCCAAAGTTTCTCCCCGCTCGCCTCTGCTGCTGTGAATACTTCCTTGGCCAGGTCATCGCTTGGTGTAAAGACACCTGCAAACAATATCAAGCAAGCATGACGATGAACATGACTTTCATCTGTATGACTTAATTGTTCTGCATTCTGACAATAACAATGTCGAGCCCTACTGGAATTGATATTGTGTATGATTTGTGTTATACCTGCAATTGAGGGCCCAAGAGCAACTACACAAGCACCAGTTAACGTCGCCAGATCAATTATCTATAGAACAATATATGGAGTCAATGATTCAGAAACAGTAAACAATCAGAAACTGAAACAGACATCTGGATCAATGTGAGGCAATAAAGCATTGCATATCAATATGAGTTGATATAAAGTTTTGAAAGTACCTTCTCCACACCCTGATTGCATGCATAAACCAATGCATCTGCAAGTGTTAGCCTGCCCTCAGCATCAGTGTTATTCACCTGTCATATACCAGACAACCTAGGTGTCAGCAAGGTTGTCAACTGTCGACTCGATAAACCAAAAGGAGGGGTTCCATAGCAGAGAGGAAAAGGAGGATGTATAGACCTCAATTGTCTTCCCATTTGATGCTGTGACTACATCCCCAGGCCTCATACCAGTCCCACTGATCATGTTCTCACAAGCTGCAACAATGAAGTGAACCTACAAGAACCAATGATTCTGTAAGTACTAAGAATATGACCAAGGTAAAATGACAAAGACATATGAATGTTTTACCTCGACTCCAGGAGGTTTAACTTGACCTATGGCTTTTGCTGCACCAAGAACAGCTGCTGAACCACCCATGTCAAATTTCATGAGCTCAATGGAACAGCCTGCTCCTGTCTTGATGTTGTAGCCACCACTGGAGACATAAAACACAACTTTTTCAGACATGGTAGTGGAATCGAAAACTGGAAACACAACTATACAATGCATCATCTGATGCATTTATGCAAAGTTCGTTTATTTGATCAAAAAAAGGTTACCAGTTACTCACCGAATGATGCCAAACAAAAGAATCACATAGCAAACTTTACCAAAACTAGTAAGAACATAATTGGCAAATGCTTTCTAATAAGGGAACAATACGGAACAACTATCTCTCACCTGTCAAAAGTCAATCCCTTTCCAACCAATGCCAGCTTGGTTTTAACAGGTCCACTCGAAGGCTTGTAACACAAATGAATGAAATGAGGAGGGTTTGCCGATGCTGCAGCAACGCCAAGATAGGATCCCATTTTCAATTCTTCACACTTTTTGGCATCAAGGATAGTAGCAGTGAAAACGTCACTGTATGTGGAAGCAATCTTGGAAGCTTCCTCAGCCAGTACAGCTGAATACACAAAAAGTCATTGAGCAAATGTGATTAAACTGGATGCCACATAAATACACCTTGCTACCATGCACAGGTATTGAAGACACAACTACGAATTAGGAAATTTGTCAAAAAATTAATTAACACTAACCAGGAGTAAGAACATTAGCTGGGGAATTCACAAGCTCTTTCCCAAAAATTACAGCGGTGGAAACATCTTCAGCATATTTCAACTTCTTCTCTATTTCAGCTCCACTTCCAAGACCAATGAAATCAACAGATTTAAGCACGGGTTTCTTCCCTTCTGACTTGTACCTAGTGTCCTCGTACAATCCCAACACAGTCCCTGTCACCAATCCCACCGATCCAAACAAAAGTCAGCTCCAACTCTATACAAAATAGCTTACCAATCAAGAAAACTAACGCAATTTCTTAAAACAAGTACCGGATGCTATTGCTGAAGCAGTGCTGAGCTTTGAGTCGTTTGAGATGCTGTCCGTCGTTGCAAGGGTAACAGCAGCACTGTTAGCCTGAGTAGACTTGGCAGCAGCAGCAAAAGCCTCACCGAAGCCACGGAAAGCAAATGTGGTCGAGCTAGATTGTCCAAGACCAATCAAGCCTATCCTTTTGGAGCTCAGACCAGGAAGCCTAAGCACCATTGACTGACCAGCTTTTCCTGTGAAATCCTCCTCGGAAGAGGCTTCACTCAGTAGACCACCCAACTGGGAATCGAGCTTCTTCAGAAGTGAGTTATCGAACTTCGAGCTCTCATCCTTAGCCATGTCCTTCTCGGTGACACCAACCGCAAGTAAATCTCCTTTCCATTCCACCGCATTGATCTCTTTCGCAGCGAATGCGATCTTTGAGGAATTAAAACAAACACATGGCAGACTGTTTTCAGTATAATCCCAACACTTCACCTCAATACCCCCCATAGAATTCACACTTCCTCAACATAAAATAAGCCAGAACACATTACCGAGCCACTAACAAACAACTAAAACTGACAATCGGGCCAAGAAGAAAGCAAAGATCAGAGCTTTCAATCACATCATACAACCAAGAGCTGCAGAGAGGAGACCCCATCAAGGAAAACCAGCAATTCCAAGGAAACCCAATTCGCCGCACTCGATTAAAACAAGGAGAAAACAGCAGATCACAGAACAAATCGATCGATAACCAATCGGAGACCAAAACGACCAACAAAGAACCGGACTTTCATCATTTCCCGACGAAGGAAAGATAGAGACAGAGTAAAGAACAGACCTTCGGGACATCGACGGCGTTGGGCTGAGTGAGCCCCAGAGTTGCCCGAGCAATTGAGTGCGCCATAAGCCTCCTCTGTCCTCTCCGATAACACAACGGCGAGCGAGAAGATGAAGACGACGACGAAGAATAAGCGAGGACACGCGAGAATCGAACCCCGGGAGCAGCAAGAGCGGCAGCCCGGCGGAAGCTCGTGAAGAACAAGGAGGGAGGAGGAGAATGGGAGAGAAGGAGACGGGAAGAAGACGAAGACGAGCAAGAAGAGAAGGAAGTGGCGAAGGAGTGTAGAAGACTACCTGCCATTTTTTCCGCTGCGGGGGAGCCTATAGATTTTATAGTGAAACCCCACCGCGCAGCAGTCAGCAAAACTCTCCACTCTGGCCTATGAGACAGAGATAAAGGCGGACGGCGCCAACTCGACTGGGAACCGGTCTGACCAGCTGAGCAATGGTGGGTTCGGTTCGGATTGGGTCTAAATTCACCGCTGAATCCAAATTCTAACCGTAATATATTTCTTCTTTTACAAGACAGGACTTTTATATATACCCCAAAAACCCTAGAAATTCTCCGGCAGAGGAAACGCGATCGGACAGGTGAAGTTGAGGGATTTCGGACCACTGACAATGGTGGGTGCGAACGTGAAAGGGGAAACGATGAAGCTGATGGAGAAGAGGAGCGCGATCGAGTCGGAGATGAACGGCATCATCTACCGTCTCACCCAGCCCGGCGGCCCTGGACTTTCCGGCAACCTCGTCGACTCGGAGGTAAAAAATGCTTCATCGAGCTGAAAGTTCGTAACTTTTTACTTCTTTGGCTCTGTGATTGATTTTGTTGGGGATTAGAGGAACGGGGCGTGATTACTTTAACTGTTTTAGTGTAGTTGGAGCTGTTAGCTTTTAGCTGAGCTTCTGTTAACCTGATTTTGGGGGATTCTTAGGATCTGATAGAATAGAAGCTGGATGAAGCCCGGTTTTGCTGAATGTAGAAGTTCTATTGTTTGATTCTGACCTTATGCTAGCTGAGATATGTGGTGTGGTGGTGAGTTCCTTCTTTGTTTAGATTGATGGATGAGAAACTTCCTATGGTTTAAGTTTAAGGTTTATGGAGTTCTCTAGGTTTAGGATTTTGTTGCAGCTCATGAATCTGAAGACAAATGCTGATTTTTCTGCCCAATTGATCTTTCTAATCGGTTCCTTACCTTTCTAATTAATGGCTTGGACATGTATTCACAACTTGGGTGGCTTATCTATGGTTTCTCTATTTACATGGTGTTGTAGGGTTTTCCACGGACTGATATAGACATTCCAGTGGTTAGAGCAGACCGGCATCGTCTGGCAGGTACATAACATGCTTCTCCTTTCATTCTTGCTTCAAGTTTCTGTACAGAACTAGGAAAGTTCGTATCTTCATGCTCGTGCTTGGAAAGATGCATGCTGTCGGTAAATTGCTTTATGAGTACCTTTCGATGAAGCCGTTAAAACAAAGCAGAAGAGATTGCTCGCAAATTTGATTTTTCGATGTTATTGCAGAGCTGCGAAACGATCACAAGGAGATTACTAAAAAGATAGAGGCAAGCATAGAAATTCTGCATTCAGCAAGGCTTGCACCTAAATCTTCTAGCCCTGGAGACTCAGGTAGCCCATAGAACTTTGAATCTTCTTCTTGATGAGAATATCCGTGGTCCCTCTAGATTTCCATAGAATAGTTACTACAGCTTGTTTAGGGCAGTACTACCATATGTCCAATATCTATTTTCCTGACACTTCTGCCTTATTTCAAGGTAACAATGAGACATCAAGCAGTCTAAACGCATCAAGCGACAACGCAGCTGCATCTGCAGCCATGGATGTGGATCCCTTCATCAACATACCATTTGCAGTGATCGATGAGATAGCTGATGCATCCCCAACTGCTGAAGATGGTCTACAGCTCGGAGATCAGATTGTTAAATTCGGCGATGTCCAGTATCAAGCTGGTGAGAATCTTCTGCAGAAGCTGGCTTCCGAGGCACAGGCCAACCAAGATAAAGCAGTATCCGTGTTCGTACTAAGGCAAGGCTCCCCGATCAACTTGACCGTGACTCCAAGAGCATGGGAAGGCAGAGGCTTGTTGGGGTAAGTCCACCATTCTTTTGTCAATTCCGCATTGCCTTCCCGCGGGATATTGATCTCCATATTTCCCTTCCTCTTCTTTCCCGAATGATCCCCAACATTACTGAATTCTTGGTTCTCCGTTGCATTCTTTGCAGGTGCAGTTTCAGGGTGTTGTAAGCCGTAACTATTCAAAGTATCACTGGCATTCGAACTTCGAGAGTCTTAAGTCTTTACTGTCGATCTGGTCAAAGTATTGCACTGTAGTCTTCCCCTTTTAATGTGGTGAATCTGCATGAACTTGTTATCCTTCTTCTTCAGCTTAACAAATTGATGATTGATGATGAGGTATATGGTCCTTTTATCCCCGGGTGAAGAACTTCCATAATGTCACTTTCCCAACTGTTACTTTTCCTGTTTCTTATCCTTTCCCAATTGCTGACAGGGAACTATAGGAATAGGGTTCTAGGTTGCTCTAAATGAAGCGACACTTGCTTGAAAGAATGTTCCAAGCAATTGACTTTTGGGGGTCTATGAAATCGACTGAGAATGAAAGGAATCATTGGCTTGAGCTAAGAGTGATAGGCTTGTTGTTGTTAATGAAGATCCTCGTGAAATTTGAGTTTTAGCTTGAGTACTTCAACTAATGGATTACAACGGTTCCGTTTAAACTAAATACTTCTTACCAAAGCAACAAAGAAGTCAACTAAGAGGGTAATGATGATAAGTTTATTCCTCTTGATTGATCTCACAATAATAATGTTCAATTTCCCTAACGGCCAAACCTAACAACCAAACACATTTATATTTTAGGAATATTCTTTTTGCTATGTCTTCTTTGTGTTGTATTAAAACAAAACACTAATCAAGACTATGACATATTTAAAAATAAGTTATTACATAATATCACAATAATAGCTATGTTGAATGATAACCAGGATGTTGGAAGACTTATCAACGAATATAAGATATCACAGCAAAAAATGAGGGGAAAGGCAAACAATCAGTTATGGGGATTCGAGCTTCGGTTCGTTATACACGAGTTATTAGGAGCTGAGGGTGATCATTTTAATTCTCTCTTGTAAACTTGTCTATTCTATATTCCATTAACATATTATTATGTTATAACATTCACTATAATTAGATGATTTAAATCTTCTTAGTAGACCGAGTCGACTACATCGTTTTGGATTTACCCAAATCTTACTCGTAAAGTATATTACATTGATAATTATCTAGCTAAGACTTTGTCATACAATTTATGTTCAATCCTTGTGTATTTTCTAAATTCTATATAACCATTGTAGTGTATTTGATTTTTGTATGACCTTTTTAAGATATCAAATCTTTTACAACCTGTTTGGATTGATAAAAAAAGTAAGGAATTAGAATTCCATTTCCAATTCCATTTCCATATATTATGTTTGAAATAATAAAAAGGTTGATAATTGAATTCCATTGGGTCTAAAATTTGGGAATTACAATTCCTATCAAAAGTGATAGAAATTGGGAGAATGAAGACGGAATTAGTGGGACTCATCAATAATTTTTATTATTTTATTCACCCACTATAATTTTACTCTCTTTCTCTCTCATTCATATTTCATTTCTCAAAATAAAACAAACATATTACATTATTTATTATGGTTAAAAGTACAATTCATTTTCATAGTTGTAGGAATTATACCAAACACTAGAATTGAAAATGGAATTTTATAAAAATAAAAAATAAAAATTTCATTTCTATTTCCATTTCTTCCGGATTTGTATCCAAACAGGCTGTTAGGATTTGATTACTTTCATCCATCTATTAAAAAAACTTGAAATTTTATATTTCATATGCATTCCATTGTATGTATAAGTTCTTTGTAAACTTTTATTCTGTTTTTCTAGAAATTATTATTATTATAGAAATTAAAGCCTGAAAGGATGGGCCGATGGGGAGTGAGAGAGAAGAAAGGCACAAGGCATCAACCGGTAATAGCCGGTAAAACAAAATCCACCAAGTTTCTACTCCACAGTACACAACCTCTCTCTCTCTCTTCTTCACTCACTGCATTTCACTCCCCTGTTCCTCTCTCTCTCTCCATTGCAGAAAGCTTCGTAGATTTAAAACTCCCAATCCCCCCACAGATCAAGCTCCAATCTTTCTCGACCACCAACCATTTTTCCCTCCCTTCGAAACTTTCTCGGGAAAAAACAGAGGAAACCCGAAGGAAAGCAGGAAAAGAAAGGGACGAGCTTTGCAGACCACTTCTGGGCCGGAAGGATAGTGAAGATACTGAGAATGTGTCAGCAGCATTACTCATTACTGGTACACTGAAACGACATAGTTTCCCCCCTGTTCCCTCACCTTCACATTCCCCTTTCTCATCTCGGTTTCAGCGAAAATGCAAGGTGGAATCTTTTATGCTTCGAGGCGCTCTCTGCTCCTGATTCCATCCCCCTTTTAGTTGATTTTTTTTACCCCTGTTAGCTACTTTTTCTCAGAGGAGAAACCCTAGCCTCGGAAGGTGAGCATTCTTGTGCTTTGATTTGAGGATAGAACAAAGAAATGGGGGGTTTAGGTGGGTTTTTTGTGGAGGGTTTGTTTTGAGTGAAGTTCCAGCTTGGGTTGAGCTTTGCTATGGTGGGATATGAACTCCTCCAATTTTATCAAGATCTCTGTGCTGCTTGGCCATTAAATTGCATTTCTCGGTGAAATGTATGTTGTATGAGAATTGTGCTGGTGGGTTTCTGATGGGGGAGTTGAAATCTTTAGGTGGATTAATTGAATGGTTTTGGTGAGTAGGTAGATCTCTTGATAAACCCCCAAACTAAAACTGGGGAGCTGCTCTTCTGAAGAAAGGGATAATGTCTGGAGGAGCTCCAAGAGTGAGGTCGATGAATGTGGCTGATTCTGATCAGACCAGGCCGGTTTTCGGTCCAACTGGGAACAACAAGTCTGGAGCTTTGAATGCTAGGAAACCCAAGCCATTGCCACTGAGCAAGGTTGAGAAATCACCTGAAGAGAAGAAACCGACAACTGCAATGTACAACAGCAGCAGCCGTTCTCCCAAATCACACTCTCTTAGTGCAGCTTCTTTGCTCCGTCGACACGAGCAGTTGTTGCATTCCAATCTGTCTATGAATGCTTCTTGCTCGTCCGATGCATCGACCGATTCGTTCCACAGCCGGGCTTCTACTGGGCGGTTGGTGCGGTCGTACAGTGCACGGAGTAGAAGGAAGGCAGTTTCAAAGCCGAGGAGTGTTGCTTCTGATAGTGGGCTTGAATCTCCAACCTCTCCTGGTGGATCACAGTTCAACAAGAAGACTTGTGCTTGGGTGACACCCAATACAGGCAAGTTCTTCTTTGGTTCTCGAATCAGTCGGTACTGTTTGTATGCAGCTTGTAGTAAGTCTGTGTGAGCTACGCTTGAGTTTAGATGGCATTATAGAGCCTTACAATGTGCTGTTATAGTTCATCAGGCTTGTTCCTTGGAACTACAGATGGCACTTCGTTTGTAAAGTGTCTGCGTGATGTGGGAGAAATCTTAAAACGAATAATCTTATGGAATGACATAGGTTAGAACAGCAAAACACAAATGGTTAGATTATGGGAAGTACTTCAGTGTTCTATGATTACTTTGTTTAGAAGTTGAGACGCTAAGTCCTAGAAGCATTTCGTATACTTTTCTGCAGTACCTCAGCATTGCCATTTCAGATTCTTCATTTCCATGGTGTACGTAAAAAATTGCACCTTAATTCACTGTTGAAACTTGTACCAAACTCTCCTTTGATGGTACTGTGTCATTGTGACTAAGGATGAGATGAATCTACCTGGATTGTGCTTGGATGAAGTGATGAAGATTGGCTTTGTTGAATTACTAAGGGATCCTTTACATCCAATAGAGTATGATGGTTTAGTTATGCTTGCTCCTAGTTCTAGCACTGACCATGTTTTACTACTGTGAAAACCAGATCCATGCTATGCAGCTTTCCACGACGAAGAATGGGGAGTTCCTGTACACGACGATAAGTAAGGAAACATGTTTGGAAATTTCCTGATCATGTTACCAAGCTTTTCAATAAGCCCTTAGCTTTTCAATTATGTTTGACAATTGGTCACTTTGTGTATTCTGTCTGTGCAGAAAATTGTTCGAGCTTCTTGTCCTTTCAGGGGCCTTAGCTGAACTTACATGGCCTACCATTTTAAGCAAGAGGCACATCTTCAGGTTCAATTTCTCTACTCCTCTCACTTCCACATTGCCGTCATATATCAGTTAGTACGCGTAGTATTAACCAAAACCCATGTTCTACACCAGGGAAGTCTTTGCAGATTTTGATCCGATCTCTGTCTCAAAGTTAAACGAGAAGAAGCTCATGGCCACAGGAAGCAAAGCCACTTCCCTGCTCTCGGAACCCAAGCTACGTGCGGTCATTGAGAATGCTCGCCAAATCTCCAAGGTAAGTTCTTATTTCCCTCTCTCGATTTTGCTTCATTTCACCTTAAGGCATCCCGAGTTGCAAATGTACGAGGTCCTGTTCCTTCACATCTGTTCTTGTTGGACCTTTTCTATGCTCACTGTCTCTTTGACCATGTACTGGGTTTTCATTGACTCATATCAATGCACTCCGGACCACACATTGAACTCTATTCGAGGTAGCAGCCATTAAAGCTAAAGACCATATAATGTTGTTACGATTGATGATCAGCTCATCCAATAAGGTTAGGTGGAGGAAAAAGTAGTTGGAAGTGTGGTCCTGAACTTCCTTTGCAATTTGCAAAATAATAATAGTATAGGGAAAATAATACAGCCTGACCTCAATTATGCAGTTAGTATATCTTTCTGCTAGTGTCACTCTTTAGTCTTTAGCCCCACCTATTATTGCAATCTTTCTTCCCCTTTAAGATGCCAGATTTGATTGATGATATACAATTCATTACTGTTAAGAGGTCTTTTGGATGCGGGATTTGGAAAGTGATGGATTTGATACTTACAGATTTCAACGTTTGTTGTTTGGCTGTTGGATTTTAAGGGTGGATTGTCATAAATTGATTTTAAGCTAAACCCGCTCCTTGTGGATTTGGTGGTCAAATCTGTCACCCAAACCGACATCCAACGACCCCTAACTGTTGCCCTTCTAGCCTATCCAATTGGCAATTGTTGTACAAACAATAGTAATGCCATACCGAATACTGCAGCTAACAAAATGCAGGTTTCTTGTTTTGTTCATGGCAGGTGATAGAAGAGTTTGGTTCATTCAACAAATACATATGGAGCTTTGTGAACGACAAGCCTATAGTCAATCGATTCCGGTACCCAAGGCAGATCCCCGTAAAGTCCCCCAAAGCAGATGCCATAAGCAAGGACCTGGTGCGGCGAGGATTCCGCAGCGTGGGGCCCACCATCGTGTACTCTTTCATGCAGTCAGCAGGGATCACAAACGATCACCTCATCGGCTGCTTCAGGTTCCAGGAATGTGTAAATGTGGCAGAAGGGAAGGAAGAGAATGGCACCATCAAGGCAGCAGCAGAGGAATGCGAGCAAGAACAAGATGGTCGTGGGAAGACGAACGGCGAAATCATAGGATCAGAGATCTCCATAACCATTGACGACTTGAGCTTGGAGGCATAGCAGCTGATTCAGTACTGAGCTAGTACGCAACTTGATGGGCCCACTCTTTTTCTGTCTGTATAAAAAGAAAGGAAAAATTCATGAATTGCTGCTCTGCTGCTGCAATCATGGTAGGAAAGAATCTTGTTCCATTCTCCCACTCTAGATCTGTAGATTAAAAAAAAAAATTCACTGTTCTTTAACCAGAACCAGATGATGGTGAAGGGCTTGTGGCTGTTGGTGGAGGTGGGTTTGCCCGCCCTGCTCCGCACTTGGAATGTATGATTTTTTGTATAGTTTGGCAAGTTCCTAGTTTATATTCAAATCTTTCATCTCTGCCTTCAACTTCAACTTCAATTAACCAACCTAGTTGATGGTCGTTTTTTCCGATTCGAGTCTTCGACCCCATAGGTTGGTTATCTATAGTAGGAGTTCACATTATCGTTAGTTCTTATACGACTATCGTATGTTAGTTATTGTATGAAGATTCACTTCCAAGGGATTAGGTGGGATAGGCAGGCCAGACAGCTCAAACTTTCAGCACTGATTGGCCCAAATGATGAAGATTTAGACTGAAGGTGAAGGGTAAGAAAAGGGTAGGCCACGCCACAACACAAAACACAACTGTTCCCCTTAGGAGGGGCAACAGGACTTCCCTACACAAAGACACGCTTGTAGGACACCATTCCCCCCTCCCTCTACTTTTCAATGATTCAAGATGTTGAAACTGATAAGCATTGATTGTGAAGCCAAAATCATAACTACAGAAAAGCTGGAAACCCATGCTTTCCCCATACCCAGATTACTACTAATCAGAGACAGAGACCATGAGAAATTATGGATCATGGGTCCCTTACGGACAAAGAAAAATGGGGTCAATTTCTCTTCTTCCTACTAATACAGGTCACTACAATTAGTCAAACGAACTCGAGATCTCGATTAAACACAGTAATGAGCTACTACTCAGCTAGATACAAGATTGGTTAAGGCTAATACTAATATTATCCCCCAAGTCAATCGAATCACGGGGCAGTAATCCACCGCTACTACACTCATATACAACTGTTCTTTTTCTTCCTTCTTCTCATTGTCAACATCCACTCATTCAATAAAAAAGGAAAGCAAACGAGAAAAAAAAAATGGAAGAGGAAGGAATGATCAACACCATTCTTTAAGTTACTTACTTAACAAGGCTTGATTTTAACAAGGCTTGATTTCGAAGCCAATGCTTATGAGAGCCCGAGCTGTTGATTCGACCGCCTTGTCCTTCCTTTCGTCACCTCCGACAGTTAATGAGGTTTCTGGTTTCAGCGGGGGCACGGTTCTCTTATTTTGCTGCTGCACGGCGTTGTTCATGGAGGCTGCTGCAGCTGCGGCGGTGATCAGAGGAGCGCTAGGCGGGCCTTGACGCTTCTTTGGGACCGGCTTGTCATGATCATGGATGCCTTTGTATGTTATGAAGACAGAGCTGGAGTTGTCGGCTGCTGTCTCGATGTGCTTGCGGACTGGGCAACCAGCAGATGTGCATCTGTAATAGTTCCTGCAGACAGGACATCGGAGTAAAATAGGATTGAAAAGGTGTAACATGCTCGAGAGAAATGTCCTATATGAACTATGGTAAACCTAAAGCGAAGCTGGCATCATTTTAGTAAACAGAGATTATTCCCTGTGATTCTGAGAATTCATCAATTTTGTTGTTTAAATCTGGTAAGCATCATGTATATCAGCCTTCCTGTAATTTTAGAGAAAAACTATGCTATCATATATTCTGAAAAGCTGGTGGTTCACTTGAAGATTTCAAAATATTATGTGTGATCCACCACTACAATGTAAAGTACGTTGAGAGGCGGTTACAGTCTATGGGTTCCCATATCTGAATGACGTGAAAATGTCATCAGATACCTACTGAATGTGAATCTCAAATGCTAAACTGTCTTTTGAGGCTGCAACTAATTGCCATTGGAAACACCATCCTTGCCACCTAGGAATGATGAGTTTATCCTACACAATAGAAGGCTTCGGCCTTTGATAAGCCAGAGGAGGTATCTGAACTTGCTCATTAGGCAGGCAAGAACATATGTTTCCTCGATAAACTAAACATTCATCAAATGTACAGAACAAGCAACAGTATGAAAGCTGCCTAAGGGAACAAATGAAACTTAGGTCAGAGCTACGAAAATCTGAGTCAAAGAATCAACATGCACCTGGGATGACTGTTTCCCTTTACCATCTTCTGTCCGTATTTTCTCCATCTATATCCATCACCTGAGATCCCAACATCGCAAGCAGCATGCACAACAAACTTAGGCTTCTTCTCAGTCTTGGTGAGAGCCCCTGAGCAATCCAGATCATCCATTTTCATCCTAATAAAAACAGCAGAAAGAAATAAACTTTGCCTACCACAGACAAAAACTTTCACAAAGAACAACCAATTTGATGAGATAGAAATGTTACCTTTTTTTGGGTTCTGATACACAGGCATGTTCCTCTTTAATTTGACGAGGATCATTCTCACTAGAGCCACTTGGGCTCAAACGTTTTCTATGAGCGATCATGGCCTTTTCTTCTGTAGGTTCTTTTAACGGCATTGCTGGATCCGATTCTTTAAGTCTACTTGCATGTTGTGTAATGACAGCCTCTGAAGTACGCCCACCAAATGATGCAATCCTACTTACCCTTTTGGAATTGCTCTTCCGAGGTGGATCGTGACTGTGCATTCCCTTATTAACAATCTCAATGACATGGCCACAATGATCAGTGCACTCGATCTTTTTAACAAAACAGTCGGAATGCGTGCATCTGTAGTAGCTCCGAGAACCATAAGGACTCTTCACTTGCTTCTGACCATACTTTCGCCAGTTGTAACCATCAGGGGTAGCCGTTTTCGGAACAGGTATGACTAGCTTTCTAATATCAGAGGGCTCTGGTTGATCTGCTTCTTGCACAGGACCACTGGTGCACTTAGACAAAGGCAATCTCTGCTCAGGAACTGTTGGACTTGGACCAGCTGACACGGGTTGGGTAACCGAAGTTGGCGACAGCTCTGATGCAGGAGCTGGACAAACAGACAACTGAAGGCCATTTTCAGTCTCAGCTTTAGCATCCTGTGGAGGATCATCCTCCAAAGCTTCTTGCTGTGACGATCCCACTTGTTCCTACAGAAGATTGGGATGAAACACAAGTGAATAGCACATTCTCACAACTCATACACACAACTGAGTGAAGTAGGCGAAAACTTCAAGCAATTCAAGAGATTAAGGTCCTCTAGATCGCTCGAGAGAAGGAAGATACAAAATTTCAGCAAGTCAAAGGTTCTAAATTGCGAATAATCTTAGAACTAGTAGGAGAAATGAGGAAGTTCTCCAAAAAAAATTCTCAGTTAATAGTACTGAATAAACACAACGTAGCAAGGATTCCAACGTTCGAACCAGAACTACGAAACCGAAACGCTCAAGCAGCCCAGCCTAGTTATTCTGCTAACTGCATAAGTTGTTAGTATATACTAACTAATATCCAAAATGTATGAACATGTATCCAAGTTTGCTGAGTATCTAGATAGCACAGATTAGTATTCAAAACATCACAAACTAGTATCCAGATAGCAGATACCAACTAATATCCACAATCAACCAACTAGTATTCAATATTGATACTCTTATGTGTTATTTGGATACTTTTATGTGTTATGTGGATACTAATTATGTCTTGTATGAATACTATCCTGTGTTGTCTAGATATTTGTTTGTGAATTTGAGATAATAGTTGATTCGTGGTGGATATCAGTTAACAAACTTTGAATACTAGTATGTGATCTCTAGATACTTTAGTACTTGGATACTAGTTCATGTATTTTGGATATCAGTTAGTATCTGCTAACGAATTTTCAAGTTAGCAGATTAACTTTTCCCCAAGCAGCCGATAATGGAAATTCAAAAGAAAGAAAATGAAAGAAATGGAGAAGCAAAAAAACCTTGAATTCAGCTTCCGTACGCGCCTCCGAAGCTGGATTCCCGCTGGAATCTGCCAGATCATCCACTGGCGCTTTCAGACATCAGAATTCTCGCACCAAATAAGAGAAAGCACAAAACTTTGAATCAGGAAGAAGAAAACAGCCTACCTACACACTGATCCTTTTCCGGTACTGCCGCCGCCGCCACACCTAGGTTTCCCGACTTCTCCTCCGGCCTAGACCTCAACGACTCAGCACCAGCGCCTACTTTCACCTCAGCAACGGCCGTATTCAGCTCGCCGCGCCGAGCCTCGTCCTCACCACCTTCATCACCATCACCACAATAACCCTCTTCTCCTTCCCCTTCATCATCGAAGACTGGTTCCAATTCCTCCCCGCCTCCATCCAAATCCTTGTCTCCTTCGTCGCCGCGTGGCTGTTTCGGCTCGTCGATTTGCTGCGGTTGGGCAGCGTCCAATCTTTCGCTCTCGGCCATGGCTGATTCTCTCCCCCTCTCCCTGCCTGCTAAGCTCCGAGAGTAAAGTTGTTTTTGTTTCCTTCTTCTTCTACTAATAACGGCTAATAATTAATTATTTTATTAATATTTTTTGCGTATCCGGAAAGCGAAACCCGCGACCCGAAACCGATGCGGGTCGTCCCGGCGCTGAATTGTAAGAAGAAGGGAAAAACATAATTATTTTTTTAATCACGGTTACTTTTAGTTTTAGACCGTAATTATTTCCCCGAATTTAATTGATTAGACACATTAGGCAGTTAATTAATCAATTAATTAACGGAGAGAGTGACACGAGTCGGGTTTTGGGAAGGATTTTGACCCGCTCGGGAGACAGCGTGATAGATGTGTCGTTGACTCGAATTGACTCTCCTGTCTCAGGTGGTCCTTGTGGGCCCAGCCAGGAAAGGTAACGGATACCGCTCATTTCTCCGTTACGGCCCATTGAGGCCCATTCCTAGGTGGGGGCCCATTTGTTACTGGTATCTTTGACTCAGGCACAGTGACAATTTGCATTTTGCAGGAATATATTCCTATTTAGTCGGATTCTCCACAAACCATGAAAATGCTAAGCATATTATTTGGGTTGGGATTGCATTATTCCTTGGACCTTTTTAGTGAGCATCTTAGTATTCGCAACATTGCTTAAACTATATAGCTGTTTGTCAAAATAAAAATCTACAGGGTCGCATTTCGTTTCGTATTCGGGAAAGTTCGGATACTATTAACGAGTATAAATTAGTTGTTAATATTGAGAGTTATCGGAGTTTGAATGTAAACTGTCTCAATCGAAGATTCTCGTGCGATGTCGACAAGCGATTTGCATTAGTGGCCGGTGTTGTCTCAGGAGCTTACAGTTTATAGGTGGGGGACTTGGTGCCTTCTTGCTTCATACCTGATGAAGATTTGCCCTGAAAAGGTCCAGTCCCAAATGGATCTGATCCAGCAGGAAGTAAAAAGGTTTTTGGATCCAGCCCATTTAACAAGTGGTATTTGGATCAATTTATGTAGAGCTAAGCTAACAACAGCTTGACCCAATTAGGTTACTTGATAGAGTGGGATAATGCAAGTTTTTCTTTTACATAATTTTTAGTCTGTTTTATATTTGCAAGTTTATCTTTTAATTCATTCTCGTCACATCAAAGACAATAATGTAGTTTTTTTTATAATGATTAATGAGCATCAAATATATCATATGATAAGCATTATGTTGCTAATTCAGGAGTGTATGAGCTTATACATGTTTTGTGTTACTCTTTTAGGTATGGTTATGTAACCTTTTCTTTTTCAAGTTAGATTAGGTTATTTTGTTAGAAGAATGTGTTATTATACATTTTCAATCTCTGTAATTGGTATCTTAGGAAGGATAGTGAAACTGCTCTCCAGCCTTTGGGCGTAATTAACACACAGGGTGTTAGTGCAACATGTAAGTCTATGTATACTATACTTTGTTGCATTTCAATTTTCCGATCCGTTCTAACAGTTTAAATTGATAAAAAAAAAATTGTCCTTCGAGCTAGTTCTATCCATCCAGCCAAAATGAGGTTCATGATAGTTTTCACTCCAGCCAAGTATAAATTGAATGTAACGAAGTAACATAAAGATCCAAACTTCCTCTCGATATAAGTTTCAGGAAGATGTTTCTATACACAGACGATTAGTCATGCAACTTACCCACAATGTTATCTGCTCGGTCTGTCATGTTAGATACCTGAGGCCGACCCGATTCTGCCACGACCCACGATCACAAGGGCAATTATACATTTCGACCAAACTCTAAACCTATTGATTATTGTACGATCTCTTGAAATATATTATGTGATTTGATGATGCGATTTGGCATCATTGCTATACCTACTAAATAGATATGTACAGTTTTCATGTATTGTCTCCTTTGGAGTTAAATAATTAATATAAAATCTTTGTATTGTTTTGGTTGATATGACTCTGTTTCGTTCTTATCTTGTTAATCGCCTCTTCACGTTGGGAAGGCAATGGAACGGGTAGCTATCTCAATTCCCAAAACGTTTGCAGAAATATTTACCTCGCACTCATAGTACAGGTTGGAGCCAGGCGACAAATATTCCTCTCAATATTCAATAGTAATTCATTTGAGAGGTTAAAATAGTGGTATGGGTAGATGTTGGGGAGATATAATAATGAATCTTATTTTACATATTAACAAATACCTCAAACGAAAGACATTTAATAAAGGTTTGAAGTTTGCATAGGTCCGAATACCATAATAAATGAGGGTCGTGGAGATTCTAGCACAATACCTCTCGATTAAAAAAGACTCTGATACCTTATCAACAACCCGCATTGATTCCAAATAACTCGAGTTATTGGGTGACGTTCAGTAATGGATCTTAAATCACATACTAAAAATACGAGACTAGTTCATATTAGTAAAGGAACTTTAAGATTACATCCTCTTGTTACTTTTTCATTTTGGGAAGAAACTCCAAAAACGATCGTGACGAATGGAGATCAATTACCAGGCACCAGCAAAAGTAAGGATGGTCGTTGATGAATGGGTCTTCGGTCGAGATCCCTCGTACTAGACCCAACCAGATCAATTTATACCATAAAGATTTCTTGACAAGTCTGCCGATAAATAGAAACATTGATTTCCGGTTCATCCCATTTAGATCTGGATGAAGAATTTGCCTCAGGCATGAACCATGAGATAGTCAACCTTCTATCTTTTACCTAATAAAAATTTGCTCTATCATTTTGATTGGAAGCTCTCAAAACAAACGGTAACTAAATTGGTTCGTTGAGTTGTTTACAAAATAACATGAGCAATCTTATAACAAACCTACGATCCATTTCATTATGTACCGAATAAATCGAGAAAGATCATCAAGTCGCACGAATTAGGTCGAAATTGTCATTTTGGGTTGTCGCTTTGGGGTGGGTGGAGGGAAGGGGGTGCTCCTCTATACATATGCATACACGCAGAGGCAAACACATAGGCAGTGAGACAGAGAAACAGAGTGGGAGAAGGTTAGACGTGGGAAAAGAAATGGAAGAAGAAGTTGGCCATGATCATGGGATAATCATCATCCCTTTAAGCACCATTAACCCACCAATCCTCATCCTAATCCTCCTCTTAACCCTACTTCTAATCCTCACATCCCATCTTCTCAAAACAAAGAAGAAGAACAAAACCACCCAATATCCCCTGCCTCCAGGACCATGGAAGCTCCCCATCATCGGCAACATCCACCAGCTCGCCACCTCCGCCGCCCTAATCCACCGCCGGCTCGCCGACCTAGCCAAGCAACACGGCCCCCTGATGCACCTCCAGCTCGGCGAGATCTCAAACGTCATCGTATCGTCCCCTGAACTGGCCAGGGAGTTCCTCAAAACCCACGACCAGAACCTCGCCATCAGGTCTCACATGCTGTCGGGCAGCATCGTCTTCTACGGCGCCAGGGACATCCTGTTCTCGCCGTCCGACGGCGCGCACTGGCGGCGGATGAGGAAGATCTGCGCCATGGAACTGCTGGGGGACCGGCGGGTGAAGTCGCTGCGGCCGATTCGAGATGAAGAGGTCGGGAAGCTGGTGAGGTTTATTCGCAGTGAGTCACGCGACACAGGTAAGTTTTGATAATAATAATAAAAAAAATGTCATGTATGTGTGACAAAAAGGATATTTAATCAGTAAAATAAATCTCAATTATTGACATTTTGTTACGTTGTAAATGAAATTTCTAGTTAAAATCATTCATGTTTCGGAAAATAAAAAGACACATCTAATTTAAACCAGGGGCGGAACCACGCGTGTTTGGGGTGTCACAGGACAGTCCTAAATTTGGAAAAACGATTATTCAATTCCCGGCGGTAAATTATGTATGGAAAAAAAAAATATAATTGATAGTCGGCGACACTCCTGAAATTTGAAAAATGATTATCCTACTCTCATCTTCTAGTTTGGGTATGTGACTATAAGTGGTAGTTTGGGTAATTCAAACCTAGGACACTATTATTATTATTAATAAACATAATTTCCATTAAGCTGCAAGCCTACAACTCATTCGTTGTTCGATTTTAAACACTGTGTAATAGTAAAATGTCACTATCTCTAATTATTTTCAAAACCTAATAATTAAAAAAAATTCAAGCTATCCTTAATTTGTATTGATTTTATGGTTGTACGACAAGTGTTAAAAGAGTCTTTTTAGCTTTGGATGACATAAAAACAAGTTTAGAAATCGAATAATTCGTGAATGATTGTATTGTAGGATACACAAAGACAATTTTTTGAGCAGGGTAGGCACCGAGTGTATTGTACAATTATTTCTGAATATGAAAACACATATTGGACTTTTTTTTAAAGTTGTACGAGTCAAGTATTTTCTTATTTAAGAATGATTTAATTTTTATTAATTATTTAAGACTTATTTTTATTTAATTTATTTTTTAAAAGGGGACACCTCTATGTAAAATTCCTGGGTGCGACACTGATTTCAACTCTTTGACTTCATCCACCAGAGACCGCGACAGTGACGACGAGCCTCAAGGACGGAGGAGGGATGGTGAACCTGAGCGAACTCCTGATCGCGGTGGCCAGTACGATGGTCTCGAGGGCGGCGTTCGGAAAGATCCGAGAGCTGGAGGGGTCTTTTCTGACGCTGGCGCATCGGGTTGTCCAAACAATGGGAGGGTTCAGCGTCGGGGACATCTTTCCTTCCCGCCGGTTGCTGCACTTGATCACCGGAACGGAGAGAAAACTGAGGAAGCTTCACGAAGAAGGAGATTTGGTCCTCCAAGAGATAATCGACGATCATTTGTCCAGGCGATCGACGAGAGCCGGCAGAGAAACAGAGGAAGAAGAAGATCTAGTTGATGTCCTCTTGAATTGCATCGACGACCACGTTGAGGTTAAAGCTATCATTCTGTTGGGTTGGTCCAACTCATATGGTGGTTGGATTAACCGGTTTGAGTTTGGGTTTTTGGTTGGTTTCTAGAAGATCCTCTATTTTCAAAATAGAGAGTTGTTGTCTACTAAAAAGTAAAAAGGGTGGACAGCCTTTCATTGGTAGAGAGAGAATAAGAAAAGAGAAGAGATAAGGAAAAAGAGAGAAGAGAGGAAGAGCTGCAGTTTTTTTTTTTCTGCAGCAGGGCAGCCTGTTCAAGTGAGCGTTCTGGAACATTGAACCGTTGGATCGTCCTGAAATTTAGTCAGTGGGTTCGCGATTCTCTGGGCTTCATTCTTACTGGAGGGATCGTCATTCTGAGGTCTAGTTCGTCGGAATCGTTCCTGGACAGAAGGTGTACGAATCTGTCTTTTGGTATCTCTAAACCTCTCTTTGCCTTGCTCTTGTTCTTGTTATCCACCATGTTGGTGAGAGCTATTATGGTTGATTGTTGATCCAAGAAGGGGGTTTGTTATTTGTAATCCTCTAGCTAGTCTAGAGAGGACTTGTAATCCCACCAAAGTCTAGTGGAGTTGTGGCTTGGACAAAGGTCCCGTGGTTTTTTCCGATTTGGGTTTTCCACGTAAAAATCGTGTGTCTTGTCATTCTATTCTTGTTTGTGGTTGCTGCCCGGTTTCTCAACAGTGGTATCAGAGCATTAGGTTGATTGGGGGTTGTGTTTGGTGAATGGCAAGAATGGATGACTCAAGTGGAGCAATGATTAAGTTGACATCATCCAACTACTCGATTTGGAAGCCACGGATGGAGGATATTCTGTTTTGCAAGGATCTCTATGAGCCAATTGAAAATGGCAGCGAGAAGCCGGAAGACAAGACCGAGAAGCAATGGGAAGTCTTGCATAGAAAGGCGGTGGCAATCATTCGACAATGGATTGACCAAAGCATCTTTCATCATGTTGCAAAAGATACAAGAGCAGATGAATTGTGGCAGAAATTGGAGTCCATGTATGAGAGGCAATCGGCTCAAAATAAAGCCTCACTCATTCGAAGAATTGTGAACTTGAAGTACAAGGATGGGCATAGTGTCTCGGAGCATTTGAGTGACTTTCAAGGGCTTGTGAACCAGCTAACTACTATGAAGTTAGCACTTGATGATGAAGTGCAAGCATTGTTACTTCTCAGTTCTTTGCCGGATAGTTGGGAGACTTTGGTGGTCTCACTTAGCAACTCAGCACCTAATGGCAAGTTGACGATGGACATTGTCAAGGATAGCATGCTGAATGAAGAGGCAAGGAGAAAAGAGTTGGGGATTACATCGGAGTCACATGCTTTGGTGGCGGATAATTCTGGAAGTCGTGGAAGAAGGAGAAATCGAAATTCCAACTTCAAGAACTCTCAGAATCGAAGTAACAGCCGAGGGAGATCAAAAGGGAGATCAAAATCATTGTCAAGACCAAGAGGAGAAATCACAATTTATCATTGCAACCAGCCCGGACACATGAAGAGAGAGTGCATAATCTTGAAACGGGAACAAGCTAGAGGAAAAGGTGTGGAAAACCGAGAAAAAGATGATACTACTGCTGCTGCCACAGATGGTGATGTAGTCATTGTTTGTGATGCCGGTTTTGTTAACCTTGCTTGTCAAGAGAGTACATGGGTTGTTGACTCGGGTGCCTCATTTCATGTGACCTCACGGGTTGATTTTTTCTCTTCCTACACAAACGGTAGCTATGGTTGTGTGAGGATGGGAAATGATGGCGCAACAAAGATTGTTGGCATGGGTGATATTCATCTAGAGACCAACACGGGTTGCAAGCTAGTCTTGAAGGATGTGAGACATGTTCCTGACATGAGGCTGAATTTGATATCCACGGGAAAGCTTGATGATGATGGTTATACCAACTATTTTGGAGAAGGAAAATGGAAGCTCTCAAGAGGTTCTCTTGTGGTGGCTAAAGGCAAGAAGGAAAGTACGCTCTACATGACGAATGCAAAGCATAGCAAGGAAGGAATCAATGTTGCTGAGAAAGATTCTTCTATTGAGCTTTGGCATAAGAGACTCGGTCATTTGAGCGAGAAGGGGCTGCAAATACTCTCCAAGAAACAACTCTTGCCCGGAGCTAAAGGTACTCTTCTTAAAACTTGTGTTGATTGCTTAGCCGGAAAAACTCATAGAGTTGCATTTCATAGATTTCCACCTTCTAGAAGGAGTAAGGTACTTGATCTAATTCACACCGATGTTTGTTTTATGCGAGATAAAACTCTTGGTGGTGCAAGCTATTATGTTACCTTCATCGATGATCACTCAAGGAAGGTGTGGACATATGCTTTGAAAACGAAGGATCAAGTGCTAGATGTTTTCAAGCAATTTCATGCTGAAGTGGAAAGGGAAACCGGCCTCAAGTTGAAGTGTGTAAGGGCTGATAACGGGGGAGAGTATAGAGGTCCATTCGAAAGCTACTGCAGATTGCACGGAATTAAACTGCATAAAAGTGTACCCAAGACTCCACAACAAAACGGTGTCGCCGAGAGGATGAATAGAACAATTTGTGAGAGAATCAAGTGTATGCTCTCACATGCCAAGCTACCTAAATCATTTTGGGGAGAAGCAATGCGGACAGCTGTTGATCTAATCAACCTTTCACCATCGGTCCCTTTGGAGGGTGACGTGCCTCAACGAGTTTGGACGAGAAAGGAAGTCTCATATGAGCACTTGCGAGTGTTCGGTTGCAAAGCTTATGTTCATGTTCCAAAAGATGAGAGAGCAAAGCTTGATGACAAAGCAAAGCCATGTATATTCATGGGCTATGGGCGTGAAGAGTTTGGATACCGATTATGGGATCCAATTGCAAGGAAAATTGTTCGAAGCCGGGATGTGATTTTTCTTGAAGATGAGACAAGTGAAGATGTTGAAAGGGGTGAAAACAAGAAAAATACAGCAGCTGGTCCGGTTAATTTGGAGCCTATATCTCCATCCCAAATGCATGAAAATGTTGAGGAAGTAGTGCATAATGAGCCCCAAGGTGCACTAGATCAAGAAGTGCAAGGAGAAGAGCAATTGGAGCAAGAAGAACAAGTTGAAGAAGAGCAACCTCTACCCGAACCAAGAAAGTCAACAAGAGATCGCAAAACTTCCACTTGGTACTCCCCTCATGAGTACCTATTGTTGACTGACGGGGGAGAACCCGAATATTATCAAGAAGCCATGTCTCATGAAGACAAGGAGGAGTGGAACAAAGCAATGCAAGAAGAGATGAAGTCTTTGCAAGAGAATCACACCTATGACTTGGTGAAACTACCCAAAGGAAAAAGATCACTTAAGAACAAGTGGGTCTACAAGTTAAAGACGGAAGAAACTAGTTCAAAGCCTCGGTTTAGGGCACGACTAGTTGTGAAAGGTTTCAACCAAAAGAAAGGTGTTGACTTTGAAGAAATTTTCTCTCCCGTGGTGAAGATGTCTTCTATCCGAGTTGTGCTTGGGTTGGCTGCAAGTTTGGACTTAGAAGTTGAACAACTCGATGTGAAGACGGCGTTTCTTCATGATGACTTAGAGGAAGAGATATACATGGATCAGCCGGAAGGGTTCGAGGTTAAAGGCAAAGAAGATCTTGTATGCAGATTGAGAAAGAGCCTATATGGGTTGAAGCAAGCACCAAGGCAATGGTACAAGAAATTTGACTCATTCATGGTCAAAAACGGGTATGCAAGAACTACCTCCGATCATTGTGTGTTTGTGAAATACTTTGCTGAAAATGATTTCATCATTCTCTTGCTTTACGTGGATGACATGTTGATCGTGGGTCGGAATGTTGGAGAGATTGATAGATTGAAAAAGGAGTTGAGTAAATCCTTTGCCATGAAGGACTTAGGACCGGCGAAACAAATTCTAGGGATGAGAATCTCTAGGGATCGAAAGAATGGAAAAATTTGGTTGTCTCAAGAAAGGTATATTGAAAGAGTTCTTGAGCGGTTCAACATGAGCAAGGCTAAGGCGGTTAGTACTCCACTTGGAGGACATTTCATATTGAGTTCGAAGCATTGTCCTACAAGTGAGGAAGAGAAAGAAGCAATGAAGAATGTGCCTTATGCATCAGCTGTTGGGAGCTTGATGTATGCTATGGTCTGCACAAGACCGGATATTGCTCATGCAGTTGGGATTGTCAGTCGGTTTCTTTCCAATCCGGGGAAAGAACATTGGACAGCAGTGAAGTGGATTCTTCGCTACTTGAGAGGTACTTCTAGAGTGTGTCTATGCTTTGGTAATGGCAAGACCATACTTGATGGATATACCGATGCTAACATGGCAGGTGATGTGGACTCTAGAAAGTCGACTTCTGGATACATGATGACTTTTGCAGGTGCTGCAGTTTCATGGCAATCTAAACTGCAAAAATGTGTTGCATTATCAACAACAGAAGCCGAGTACATAGCTGTGACAGAAGTTTGCAAAGAGATGCTATGGTTGAAGAAGTTTCTTCAAGAGTTGGGCATCAAGCAAGAGAGGTATGTGCTCTACTGTGATAGCCAAAGTGCAATCCATCTTTGCAAGAATCCTACTTTCCACTCAAGGTCGAAACACATAGATGTTCGATATCATTGGATTCGTGATGTTTTGGAAGAGAAGTTGTTGGAGCTCAACAAAGTGCATACGGATGACAATGGTTCGGACATGATGACTAAGTGTCTACCAAGTGGAAAACATATCTTCTGTCGAGATGAAGCAGGTTTGGTGCTACCCCCCATATGAGCTGGAGGGGGAGATTTGTTGGGTTGGTCCAACTCATATGGTGGTTGGATTAACCGGTTTGAGTTTGGGTTTTTGGTTGGTTTCTAGAAGATCCTCTATTTTCAAAATAGAGAGTTGTTGTCTACTAAAAAGTAAAAAGGGTGGACAGCCTTTAATTGGTAGAGAGAGAATAAGAAAAGAGAAGAGATAAGGAAAAAGAGAGAAGAGAGGAAGAGCTGCAGTTTTTTTTTTCTGCAGCAGGGCAGCCTGTTCAAGTGAGCGTTCTGGAACATTGAACCGTTGGATCGTCCTGAAATTTAGTCAGTGGGTTCGCGATTCTCTGGGCTTCATTCTTACCGGAGGGATCGTCATTCTGAGGTCTAGTTCGTCGGAATCGTTCCTGGACAGAAGGTGTACGAATCTGTCTTTTGGTATCTCTAAACCTCTCTTTGCCTTGCTCTTGTTCTTGTTATCCACCATGTTGGTGAGAGCTATTATGGTTGATTGTTGATCCAAGAAGGGGGTTTGTTATTTGTAATCCTCTAGCTAGTCTAGAGAGGACTTGTAATCCCACCAAAGTCTAGTGGAGTTGTGGCTTGGACAAAGGTCCCGTGGTTTTTTCCGATTTGGGTTTTCCACGTAAAAATCGTGTGTCTTGTCATTCTATTCTTGTTTGTGGTTGCTGCCCGGTTTCTCAACACATTTTGGTACGTATTAGTAACATAATGCGTATTTATTTATTTACATAATTTGTTTTATCTCTAGCTCACAGGGACAAAAGCACTATGATTTCCCACTAGAATGATAACTTGTTTCGGTTCATTACACCCGTGACCCAGGGGCGGAGCCAGGTTTTTGGGTTTGGGGGACCGAAAAATGTTCCGTAGTATATTATCGTAACTAGATAAAAAACGAAAATAATTATATAACTATATAAACAAATTAATATGTACAAGATGTTTTGTCAAATAATTAGATTAATTCAAGATGTAACTATTATGATATCTTCAATATAAATGAGTAAAATATCAACAAAAAATTTATTTTAATATAGAGTTAAGAACTAAATTAACTTTACATCAACGCATCAAGACTATAACTAATAACAGAGTATGTGAAAAATGAGATAAAATGTTAAAAACTACCGTCAATGGGTATTGAACCCCTAATTGCAGGGCTGTAGAACAAGTAGATCTCCGCTAGGTTAAACACCTTCATTGTTACAATTTTGCATGCGACTTTTATTATACTCTACATTTTAATTACTATGTAATTTCCAGAATACCCGTCATTCATTCGTAATTTTCGAAATTCTCGGGGGGCCGGGGCCCCTCCCATGCCCTGTGTAGCTCCGCCCCTGGACCCATCCATTAGGTATGTGTTCTATCACATAATTATTGATTGATATTTTGATATACACGTATGATGCAGGACATGTTCGTAGCTGGGGCCGACTCTTCTCCTGGTGTTGTGGAATGGGCCATGTCCGAGTTAATGAAGAACCCGAAGGAGATGGAAAAAGCGCAAAAAGAAGTGAGACGTGTGTTCGACGAAAAAGGGAAAGTCGTGGACGAAGCTTGTTTTGGAGAACTACATTATCTCAAATTAGTCGTCAAAGAAACTCTCAAATTACATCCACCCGTTCAAGTAGAACTTCGCCGTCAGGTCTCCCATGCCGTCGGGCAACATCATCTTCTACGACGCCAGGGACATCCTGTTCTCGCCGTCCGACGGGGCCCACTGGCGGCGGATGCGGAAGATCTGCGCCATGGAGCTGCTTGGGGAACGGCGGGTGAAGTCGCTCCGGCCCATTCGAGAAGAAGAGGTCGGGAAGATGGTGAAGTTTATCCGCAATCAGTCACGCGACACAAGTAAGTTTTGATAAAAAATATATATATATAATAAATTGCTATGTATGTATACCATAAGGATACTTTATCGCTAAATCAAAGCTCAATTATTGACATTTTGTTACGCTATAAATGAAATCTCCAATTGTAACAATTTATTTATATATATAAAAAAGAAGCATCTAATTTCAACTCCTGACTTCGTCAGTCTTCGTATTAGCGGTCGTGGCAACAAAGTACGGAGGAGGGATGGTGAACCTGAGCGAACTCCTGATTGCGGCAGCCAGCACGATGGTCTCGAGGGCGGCGTTTGGAAAAATCCGGGAGCTGGAGGGATCTTTCCTGACGCTGGCACATCGGGTCGTCCAGGCAATGGGAGGGTTCAGCGTCGGGGACATCTTTCCTTCCCGCCGGTTGTTGCGGTTGATCACTGGAACAGAGAGAAAACTGAGGAAGCTTCACGAAGAAGGAGATATGATCCTCCAAGAGATAATCGACGAGCACTTATGCAGGCGATCGACGGGAACTAGGAGAGAAACATATGATGAAGGAGAAGATCTAGTCGATGTCCTCTTGAATTGCACCGATGACCACGTTGAGGTTAAAGCCGTCATTTTGGTACGTATTAATATTTTCGATCAAGGCTAAAGAATATTTTCGATTTCACCAAATCCACTTGTTGTTCTTACTCAGCCTCGTAGAGGCTCAAACACATGCTATAAATGTGCATATTTTTAGTAGTTTTGCTTGGGTAAATAGGTTACTATCATCGGCAAAGAGTAAATGAGATATCGTGGATGCCCCCTCTGTTGACCAACATACCACTAATCTTTATATCCCTTTCACACTTTGTAATCGATCCTGATAATCCCTCTACCACTATAAGAAACACGTAGGGTGACATTTGATCACATTGTCTGAGTCACCTTCTTAGGTAGAAGCTTAATTTCCATTTGACGACCATTAACCAAAATAGAAAAGGAGACAGATGTAACACAATGTATGATTATCTTGATTCATCTATCTGCAAGCCCAAGTATCCCCATGATTGCCTCCAGAAAACCTCATTCAACTCGATCATATGCATTTGCAATGTCCAACTTGACTTCCAAAGAACTTTACTTGCCTTTTTGCACTCATAGTCAATGAGTGGGAACACTCCAAAGCCATCAGTATATCACTATATTGTCTATAATCTATCTCCCAAAAACAAAAAAGTGCTATGATTTTCCAGTATAATCTCAAAATTTAAATACGAGATAATTTAATCAAACTATTTAGTTAGGATTTTGATACTGAGTAAACAATCACTTATTTCTGATCACTGCACTCATACATTAGGTATGTGTATCCTTTCACGTAATTATTGATTAATATTTTGATATACACGGATGATGCAGGACATGTTCCTAGCTGGGGGTGACTCTTCTCCCGGTGTTGTGGAATGGGCCATGTCAGAGTTGATGAAAAACCCAAAAGAGATGGAAAAAGTGCAAAGAGAAATGAGGCGTGTGTTCGACAAAAAAGGGAAAGTCGTGGATGAAGCTTGTTTTGGTGAATTACATTATCTCAAATTGATCGTCAAAGAAACTTTCAGATTACATCCTCCTGTTCCTTTGTCGATTCCAAGAGAGGGTAGAGAAAAGGTTGTGATTGATGGATACCAAGTTCCAACAAAAACAAGGGTCATCATCAATATGTGGGCCATCAACCGAGATCCCTCGCATTGGACCCAACCAGATCAATTTTTGCCAGAAAGATTCCTCGACACTTCCATAGACTACAAGGGTAAGGATTTCCACTTCATACCATTTGGAGCCGGACGAAGAATATGCCCAAGAATGAACTATGGGACTATTGTTGTTTATGTTTTACTCGCAAATCTGCTCTACCATTTCGATTGGAAGCTCCCAAATCAAATCAAACCCCAAGACTTTGACATGTCTGAAGAATTCGGAGCTACAACGGTAAGAAAGAATAAGTTGTATGTCATTCCCATCCCTTACCATGCACAGTGAGCAGGAAGTACTGTAAGAAAAAAAAGGGTCAAATATACCATGTTTTGTTGTATTTGATTCCCAATAATACATTTGGTTGCAACAAAAAAAAAGTAGTATTTGGCATGTGACATTTGTGAGAATACCACAAACATACTATCGTTGGAAAATGTACGAAGAGAAGTGAGCCGCGTTCAATGGAAAAGGAAAGTCGTGGATGAAGCTATGGCTTACACAACCTTAAGTTTACCATTTATTGGCAAATTTGTGCTACCATATATTTTAATGAGAAATCTCTCAAATAATACACAAATAATGCACTCTTTCAAATTTATATTACAACAAATCACAAAATACAAAGATTTTCGAAAGTGAAATACCCATCATTTTCCACTATAAGATGTTTTTCCACCATAAGACAAGAAACCTAACAATTTGCTCTTCAACTTGTCGTTAATTATTGATTAGTGGTTGGGGTCAATTTCTTTCAATAGTTGTTGTGACTGTCACTTACTCACTTCAGACACTTACATAGCACCATCGGTTAATCGGCTAGCCGAAAACTCCCTCGGACTCATCGACCGACCTTAATAACCGTCGGTTTTCGGTTAGCTATTAACCGACGATTTTTGGTTGAAACCACCGATTAGCCGCTAACCGGAAACCCATCTGTCACCCCTATCACTTACATAGGCTTCCACCCAAAGTTTGGGGGTCCAGCGCTAGGAGAGCATACCCGAAGAAGTATATCATCTTGCAAATCCCCTGCTATATTATGGAAAACAGAGTCACAGAAACAGAGAGTGAACTCAAACGATCATGAGATGATAATCTCTTTGATCACCAGTAACCCACTAATCCTCCTCCTCATCCTCTTCCTAACCCTTCTTCTAATCCTCAAATCCCATCTCAAGCCGAACAATTCAACCTTTCCCCTGCCTCCAGGGCCATGGAAGCTCCCCATCATCGGAAACATCCACCAGCTCGCCTTCTCCTCCAACTCCGCCCTCATCCACCACCGCTTCGCAGAATTAGCGAAGCAGTACGGGCCCGTGATGCATCTCCAGCTCGGGGAGACCTCGAACGTGCTGCTGTCGTCCCCTGAAGCAACCAGGGAGTATCTCAAAACCCACGACCACAACTTCTCGTACAAGTCTTACACGCCGTCGGCCAGCATCATCTTCTACGGCGGCAGGGACATCGCTTTCTCGCCGGAGGGGGAGTACTGGCGGCGGATGCGGCGGATCTGCACATCGGAGCTGCTGACGGAGAAGCGGGTCCGGTCGTTGCGGCCGATTCGCGAGGCAGAGGTCGGGAAGCTGATGAGGTCGATTCGTGGTCGGAGCGAGAAGCTGAGATCAGGTGTGTCCTCTCAAAATTAATTTATGAAAGCTCAATCAAACCTGTGTTTTGGGACAGAGCCCAAAACTTACATATGTGTCTTGTTACAGAGCCCAACAGTACTTCTGGCTCCGCCGCGGATAGCGTCGGCGGCGGCGGGCGAGCGGTGAACTTGAGCCAACTACTGATCTCGATGTCCAGAGCCATGACATCGAGGACGGCGTTTGGGAGGATCCGGGAGCTGGAGGGAGGTTTCCTGCCGCTGATGCGTCGGATCACCGAGCAGCTTGGAGGGCTCAGCACGGGAGACATCTTCCCTTCCCACAGATGGTTGCATCGGATCACTGGAACAGAGAGACAGCTGAAGAAGCTCCACAAAGAAGCAGATGCCATGCTTCAAGGTATAATTGACGAGCATTTAGCAAAAAGATCAGGAGGAATGGAGGGAGAGGATCTTGTTGATGTGCTGTTGAGGTGCACAGAAGACCACATTGAGGTTAAAGCCGTCATCTTGGTATGTAAATTTTACATAACATTTGCTCATAGTAACTTCCAACTTGATTGAAAGTCAATTAGTTAAGATTATGATACCAAGTTAGTAAACATCGATGAATCGGCTAGTTTCCCCACAATTATTATTTGTATGATGATTATATTTATATACATTGATTTACATGTGCAATATTGTAGGACATATTCCTAGCTGGGGGTGACCCTTCCCCTACTATCATTGAATGGATCATGGCCGAGTTGATGAAGAACCCTAAAGAGATGGAAAAGGTACAAATAGAAGTGCGAGGTGTGTTTGATGGAAAGGGGGGAGTAGTAGATGAAGATTACTTCGATGAACTACACTATTTCAAAGCCGTCGTCAATGAAACTTTCAGGTTACATCCTCCTGCTGCTTTGTCGCTACCAAGGGAGAGTCCGGAAATGGTTGTGATTGGTGGATACCAGATACCAACGAAAACAAGAGTCATTGTCAATATGTGGGCTCTCGGTCGAGATCCCTCGCATTGGACCCAACCGGATCAATTTATGCCGGAGAGGTTCCTCAACACGCCTCTCGATTATAAGAGGAATGATTTTAAATTCATCCCATTTGGAGCTGGACGAAGAAGCTGCCCGGGCATGAACTACGCGATTGCTACCGTGTATCTTATACTCGCCAATTTGCTCTATCATTTTGATTGGAAGCTCCTGAATCAAATCCAACCCCAAAAGCTTGACATGTCCGAAGAATTTGGAGCCACGGTTGAAAGAAAAAATAATTTGTATCTCATTCCCACCCCTTACAATGCACCCTAGGTAGCAAGTAATGAGGTGATGAATTAAGTCAAAGTGGTGTGTGTTTCCATTTGTTTCCGGACAAAAATGCGTGGTTTGGGGTTTCCGTCTAGCCAGAGTCTCTTTTTGTAATGCGTTTTCATTTCAAAATGTAAGAAGTAATAAAATCTCTCGTCTTTCTTCTGTCAAATTTTATAATCAAACTAGGGTTAGACCAAAGTGGTCCAAATGGTTACTACTATTTTAAGAGAGGATGGAGGTTTTAGAAAACTCACACCAACATAGTCAATTAGTAAAATTCACGCCAATTTAAAGTATTAACCATTTACATTTCAAACAAAACTAATGTTATATAATCCCTCAAACCTTGTGAGCTATTTTGTACCACAATATTAAAATATTTTTTATTTATACAAAAATTGGTTGAAGGGTCCAATGCCATGATGCATCGTATCACCCAGAGGCCAAAAGCATTAAGGGTTCAGTCCAGGAGACATCGTTTCGATCTCATATTTTCCTTATCTGTCTAGATTTCTCTTATTTGTTGTACAAGTCTTGTAATTTATATAAATCCTTTTCACGGTTAGATAAAGAAGATGTCTCATCATGATGGCGATAAGGACCACCCCACGAAGAAGTACAAGGATGCTACCGCCGCTGGCGCGGACGATGGTTATTACGGCGACGGTGAGAGAGCCGTGAAAAAGAGGGATTTCACGAAATTAGAGCTGAAGCCTAAGGGTCCGATAGAATAACAACAACATATTTGTTGTTACTATAACAACAAGGACAAAAAGGTAATACAACAAAAACACAATAAAAATTAATTAAAATGGAAACAATTTTTCTCCGTCCCTCCATCCAGATCTCAGTCGTCTTCTTCGTCTCATCCATCCCATGATTTCTTCTTTCTCCTAGCTCCGGCACCGACGACAATCCAAACAGGAAAACAGCGGTGGAGGTTGTTTTCCGATTCCCCGTTGTCTCTGCGTCACTGGCTGCGGGATCGGCTGCGACGGACGGGTCTTCAGGAACTAGGTCTTCGAAGGCTCGCTGTTGGGCGCTGACTACAGGATCAAGCGACGGTCGAACCACCGCAACTGCAAGTGTGCGCTCCACAACAAATCTCGCAACGGCGGCGACAGAAGTTGCGGGAACTGCAAGAACACCGTCTCATAGAAGATTCGTCGGTCCGGGGCAAAGGCTTCCTTGCTCTCGCGGCATCTTCCGGTGCCAAATCCGGATCGTCCCCTTCGTGTTCATCTAAGGCGTTGATCAGCGACCACCGCCTCCGACCACGCCTTGTCCTTCCATACGTCGACGCAGAGGTCATATATGAAGTCGAGCGCCTCGCATCTGCAAGGCGGCGAAAGTGGCCTCAATCGGGTGGAGATGGAGCCCGGGAAAAGGAAGACGATGGTCCCCCTCTTCCCCTGCCATCGTCTTCTTCTTCTTCTCTTCCTCCGAGAAAGAATTAAAATTATTGCCCACAATCTAACAACCCGGAATCAATGAAATTGACGAGGAAGTGAAATTAAAAAGGCAATAATTGTGGTTCTTATTTCTTCTTAATAATTACTACAATATTAACTCAAGCAGATACACTAATTTTAATTCACTTAGTAATTGCAATTAGTGAGTCCAAGTAATTTTGTAATTTTCCTAATAATTACCACAAAGTAAATAACAAATATTTCTAAAACACACCAATAACCTCTTAATGCAGACCACAAACACGGTAAAACTAACCACAAAAAAGCATACCAGAAACCTCCCAATGCATACCACAAATCCCCTAAAACAAACCACAAACCTCGCAAAGCAAACCACAAATATTTTGAAAGCACACCAGAAATTTCTTAATGCAAACCAGAAACCTCCTAATGCATACCACAAATCTCCTAAAACAAACCACAAACCTCACAAAGCAAACCACAACATTTACGAAAACACACCAGAAACCTCTTAATGCAAATCACAAACACAATAAATCAAACCACAAAAAAGCAAACCATAAACGTTCTAATGCAGACCACAAATATATTAAAACAAACCAGAAACCCCTCAATGCAAACCACAATATTTTTGAAAGCAAACCAGAAACTTCTCAATGCAAACCACAAACACGATAAAGCAAACCAGAAACTTCTTAATGCAAACCACAAACACGATAAAGCAAACCACAAAAGGCATACAAAAATATGAGAAACCAAACCATAAATCTCACAATGCAGACCATAACATCCGGTGGTCTTTGGCCGTTGACCGGTGACCGGTTAACGAAAATCGTTGACCAAACTCCGATGACCGTCAGTAAGTAGTTTCCGATGCCGATAGGCATATTCCGGCCCCGATGACTAGATTTCGACGCCGGTAAGCATATTCCGACCACGGTGAGCATATTCCGGCGACGGTGGCATATTCCGATGACAAAATAACATATTCTTGCGACAAAAAAGCATATTACGGTGACCAGCGACCAGAGTTCGGCGACCAAAATTTTGGGCCGAAAAATAAAAAAAAATTAATTTTTTATTATTATTTAAACATATTTTTCAAAATGACAATTATACCCCTGTTTTGATTTTACACTAGGTCAACTCATCTAATAAAAAGTCATCACAATCCTAGCTTCCTATTGGTTGGAGACTAGTGTTGTTACCGTAACTGGTCCCGAAGCGTAACCATACGAACCGCCCACTCTCGACTTGTGGCGATGGTCGGATATTCCTCGAGACGTGTTCTCCACTGTACAAACAATCATCCGACTTCCTCGTTGCCATTGCAGAGCCGGTTTGCAGGCTAGAGTCGATGCACGAGTACAATCTGACTCCACATTCACTGTACGCCGCCGCGGGTTCCGCGGCTCTGGAGGCTGCAACCATAATCGTCGTTCTGAACAAGCTGTCCAAAGACCAAACTGCCCAAGGAGATGATCGATTTCGTACACGAATCCACTGCGAATTGCGGCAAAGTGAAGCTCGTTCTCAAGAAGAACAGATACTTCATCGAGTCTCCGTATCCAGAGGTGCTCGAGAAGTTGTTAGAAGATGAAATCATAGGTCGAGCCAGGATTGATCAGTCTGACAATGAACATGGAGAAATTGGCGGCAGTCATAATCGGTTGTTGAATGAAGATGAAGAAACTCACTGCTACTCTTTCGAGATTGAACCCTGTTGGGTAGAAAATGTAAAGCAGCGGTGCCTGCATAGTGCTTTGAATTACCCGATGCTGGATGAATGCGATTTTAGAAACCATCCTGTAAATCCAGACATCATTGACGTGAAATTGAAGCCCCAAGCACTGCAGTCACGACCGTATCAGGAGAAGAGCCTCAACAAAATGTTTGGAAATAATGGCAGAGCGATCAGACATCATTGTGTTGCCTTGTGGAGCAAAAAAGTCTCTGGTTGGTGTATCAGCTGCAACCCGGATAAGAAAAAGCTGCCTTTGTCTAGCAACGAATGCAGCCTCGGTCGATCAGTGGTACAACCAGTTTAAGCTGTGGTCGACAATTTCGGATGAGCAAATTCGTAGTTTCACTTCTGACAACAAGGAAGAGAGGAGACTGCAGGGCAACAACGCTGGAGTGGTGGTGACCACAACCTATAACATGGTTGCTTATGGGGGTAAAAGATCAGAGGAATCTGAAAAGATGATGGAAGAGATCAGGAACAGGTAATGGGGGCTTCATCATCGGTCCCAAACTGTACGAAGCCAACTGGCTGGACCTTGTTATTGGATAGTAGTTGTTCGGCCCATACTTGCCAGCATGCGGGCATAGGAAGAAGAGCCCACTCAACCCATGCATACGTGGATTCCTTAGTAGTCCATAATGAAACCCTAGTTACTTATGACAAACAGGGTTATAATGTATGTGTAATCATCGACTACGGCCAATTAACCAAGTGAAATAAGAGATGCAGCTGGAGAGCTTTGCCTCTCCCGTGGATTAGTCTTGGTCGATCTATGATCAAGGATACCGCGTTAATATCGTGTTTGTCTTTCAATTTCGCTACTATTTCTCTTGGTATCACAGCAATAAGATCCTTCTTCTTCTGTTTCAATCATGGTTGCCGGCGACAAGTCTACCATCGCGAGTTCCACTCGTCCTACTGGGGATAAGACTGCTGGTGGTGGTGACGGCGATGGTCTCCTTCCCGTTTATCATTTACCTCTGTCGGATAGTCCCGAACAGATGTTGGTGGGGGATGATTTGACTTCCTCCAATTATGGCGAATGGGCGTTGAATATGAAGGATGCCCTCCTGGCTAAAAACCAGTTTGCTTTTGTTGATGGCAGTCTTCCGAAACCAAGCAGCGGGTCACAGCAGGGCGCTTGGTTTGCTGTGATGCGATGGTGAAAGGCTGGATGAAGACGGCGATGGATAAAGAAATCCCGAGTAGTGTTCGTTTTGCGGAAAATGCTCGTGAAATCTGGCTCGACCTTCACAATCGTTTTAGGTAAGGTAGTGCGTCCCGCGCTTATGAGTTACGGCGGTTGATCAGCTTGCTCCAACAAGAGAAGCACTCTGTCTCAGCCTTCTATACCAAATTGCGGTCTTTTTGGGAAGAGTCTAATGCGATTTCTCCTCCTCCGCATTGCACTTGCGGCCTCTGCGTTTGCAACGTTTCTCATCGTGTGCGGGCGCAGCAAGACAATTCTCGCTTATTTGATTTCTTAATGGGATTGGATGATACTTTTCAGGCGTGCGCACACAGGTGCTTGCCATGAGGCCCACGCCGAGTCTTGCTGAGGTATTTAATATCGCTCTCAATGAGGAACAACAACGTCTTATTTCTCAGAGTCGGAAACCTTCCAGTGAGGCAGCAGTGTTCGCTGCACGCAGTGATGGCGAGCAAAGGAAGCGTCCTTCCAGTGATCGAGGGGGGCAATGTTGTACTTATTGCCAAAAGCGTGGCCACCTCCGTGTGATCTTCTATCAACTCATCGGGTACCCACCGCGTGATCGCGGTGACTCGCGTGGTGATAAGGATTCACAATAGCGTCGGCGTGATCGCGATCGTGACGAGCCTTGGCATGATCGAGATAGTGATGGGCAGCGGCGTGATCGAGCCCCCCCTCAAGTCGAGCACGAAAAGGGTACCAATCCTGTCGCTGGGTTTTCTTTGGCACAACTTGAACAGCTCAAGCTATTTTTTGGTCATCCTGTGAAAGGTGCGG